TGAGCGACGCCAGGAGCTGGCGGGGCAGGCTGGGGCTGGGTTGCTTGCTGTTGCCAGCGCCAGACCCCCTGCTAAACTCCCAGGCCGCCCTGGACCCCACATCCCGAAGCGCAGGGCCCCCCAAAGCACGGAGCCCGGGGTGGTTGCCCTGGTCCATCCCGGCTCTGGTCACCAGCAAAGGTGAAAAACAGGTTTCCTGTCAGAGAAGAGCTGTATATCTATCTACCTGTTTACATGTGAAATGAGTACAGTAACTCCTCACTTTAAGTCGTCCTGGTTAACGTTGTTTCGTTGCTGATCAATTAGGGAACGTGCTCATTTAAAGTTGTGCAATGCTCTTACGTTGTTTGGCTGCCTGCTTTCTCCATAGCTGGCAGCCTCCCTACGCCCCCCCTCCCCCACCCGCTGGCAGACCTCGTGGATCAGCGCCTTCCCCTTCCTCCCCTGCCTCCTGCCCACGGCAATCAGCTGGCTTGCGGCGTTTAGGGGGCAGGAGGGAGGGGGGAGGAGCGAGGACTCGGCGCACAGGCTCCCCCTCCTTCCCCTGTCTCCCGAACGCCGCAAGCCAGCTGATTGCCCCAGGGAGGAGAGAGCGGGAGCCTGCGCGCCGAGTCCTCACTCCTCCCCCCGTCCCTCCTGCCCCCTAAACGCCGCAAGCCAGCTGATTGCCTCGGCAGGAGGGAGGGGGGAGGAACAAGGACTCGGCGCGCCTCCCCCCTCCCTCCCCTGCCTCCTGCCCGCGGAAATCAGCTGGCTTGTGGCGTTTTGGGGGCAGGTGGGAGGAGCGAGGACTCAGCGTGCAGGCTCCCCCTCCCTCCCCTGTCTCCCGAACGGGGCAAGTCAGCTGATTGGCCCAGGCAGGAGGGAGCGGGGAGGAGCGAGGACTCAGTGTGCAGGCTTCCCCCTGCCTCCTGCCCCAGGCAATCAGCTGGCTTGCGACGTTTAGAAGGGAGGGAGGAGGGAGGAGCGAGGACGCAGTGTGGGAAGTAAAGGGGGACAAGGTGGGGAGAAGAGGCAGGTCAAGGGTGGGAGCTTGGGGGAAGGAGGGAGTGGGTGGGCTGAGGGTTGAGCCCCCTGCCCCTGGTGCTTGCAGAGTAGGGGAAGCTGCCGCTACTGCGCAACGTGCTTCTCCTAGCCTACAGCACCTTCAGCCTCCTTGCCTGCCTCATCTCCAGTGCCAGTGGGCTGTGCCTGTGTAGGGTAAGGCAGTGGCACCTCCCAACTATAGTACTGTACCTGTATTAAATTGCTTGTTTAAAATGTATATAATGCCTTTTGTCTGGCAAACATTCTTTCCCCTGGAACCTAATCCCCCCTATTTACATTAATTCTTATGGGGAAATTGGAGTTGCTTAACATCGTTTCACTTAAAGTCGCATTTTTCAGGAACATAACTACAACATTAAGTGAGGAGTTACTGTATTGTCTTGTTCACAGTGGGTCTCCCAACACTAGTCTGAACTGAATGCAAATAAAGGGTTGTGGGGACATCAGAAAGAAACTAACAGAGAAAAACAGCTTGGGGGAGAGAATCGTATCTGGTGGTACAGATCAAAGATCTGGCTGAGTATATGTGGGCAATAGAGAAGACACTCAGGCAGCCTTCACTAAGGAAGTAAGAGGAAGACAGCAGTTGTGCTTCATGAAAAAGGGGTCTCAACCAGCTTTGGTTGAAAATGCTGAAGAGAACTTTGGGTGAGATTAACCTCTAAAGAAGTTTAACTGTTACTTAAGTTTAGTCTCTAGAAAGCAAGTTATGATTTTGCTTTATATGTAGCCATTTGTTTCCAATATTCTTACTCACTATTATTTGAATCTCTGTTATGATAATATAGTTATAGTGAAAACAAGAATAAATTTAACTAAGCAAAGTGATAGTCCTAAACTGAATCTTACAAGCTTGAGTGTACTGTTCCTTTGGGAACAGCAGGCCTGATGATTGTGTGAGTGTTCAGTGGATAAGGGGCTGGATGCTGCAGAGAATGCTCTGAGTATTCAGGGGTTGGTGTGTGCCTATCACTACCTGTACAGAGAGAGCAAGGCCTGGAAAGTAGTGTTTTGCTGCTAGAGGCTGGTGGTTTCAGGGCACAGACCCACAACAGGCGCAGACCAAACTATTTTGTGCTAAGGGCAAGCAGTGGTGAGGTGCCTCACAACCCTGGGTACTACCACAGGAGAGCATATGGGGGGGATCTGCAAAGGCTGCATTTCCAAATGCAGATGACCCCTGGATTCTTTTTGTTTAGATTAAAAGTTAATATAAGTTACTCTTCCCTTGCAAATATTTAAAGAGCCTTAATATTTAACTAGTTAACATTTGCTATTATCAGGGTTTTCAAGTGCTGTGTGTTGCCATGTGTCACGGACTCACAGGTCATGCCCACTCTTGGCCCCATACAGTCCCTGAAGGGAACCCCCTTTAGTGTGACAGCCCTTTTCAGGGGTCCACTCTCTCTTGGGGGTTAAGCCCCTCCACCTCTTGGAACCACTCCTCTCTGAGCCTTTAGCATGCCTGTCTCTTGCCGTGGGCCCCTTCAGGGAGTCCACTTGCTCTGGAACCCCGGGGCCTCCACTCCCACAGGGAATAATGCAACCCTGTTCTCTAGACCGGAGCGACTCTCATCCAGCGTAAAACAGGAGGGTTTACTGAGCGTCTGAACACAGCATAGGAAACTCTCAGGGACCTCAGGCCTGGCCTCCCTCAGCACAGTACATCTAAATCGCTCCTACATCCAGGTGGGCTCTCCTTCTCTCCCGCTCCAGCCCAGAGACCTCCTGCTTTCCAACGGGCCATCTGATATCACCTGCCCCCAAGCTCCGCCTCTGTCCTTTGTCTTCTGTCCAGGTAAACAGGGTCGCCTGGGCCTCCTCTCCTCTCAGCCATCCTTTGTTCACCACTGGCTGGAACCAGCTGGTCAGGTCACTGGGGTCCTCTCTCTGCAGCCCATTGTCCTCCCATTGGCCAGAACCAGCTGTGTCATCCAAGCTGGGCCTCCTGGTCACTAGGTCACCAGTCACTGGAGTATCTATTCTCCTGGCCATTGGCTGGGATCCCAAGTTCCGTCGCTGGGCCTCTGTAACAACAAACTTCCTCTCCCATCACCTCATTAAACCAGTAACACACTGGGAAACTGAGTCCCACCCCCTCTGCATGCAAACCCCTGAAAAAACCAAGAAAATCCCCCACTTTGTCACACCATGTCTTGTAGGAAACTTAAAGAAAAGACTCTAAAAGTCATAGTTTTGATCTATTAAGACATTTATAACAGTCACTGGACTCTGTAATCAGTCTTCTCATGGGAACAAAATGCTTACACATAATTCATTTCACAATAATACCGCAAAGCAGAAAGCATAGCCAGTAGTTATTGACTCTGGTGGGAATAATGAGGTTTAAACAGGATGGCCTCTTGGTACTTACTAAAGGAACTATCCTTTATTCATACCCACTGTTCCTTGTCCCAGATTGGTGTTTAAATGGAGGCTGGTACATTGCCTCCTTATTTTGTCTGAGCTGTCCTTTGTGTGGTAGATTGATTCTCTCTGGCTCTGGGATGATTTTCCAGTGATAACCTGGGGCTCAAAGCCAAGTTGAGGACTAGGTTAATCATTACTGTTTCTGGCTGCTGTGTGGTATCTTTTTGCTATTAAAAATGATACACATCATGAGATGCATGACATTTTGTGTAAACTGTGATACTCCCTCTTTTCCTCCCCTGCCCATACTGTGGCTTTGCTTACTGGGCATCTTAAAAGTTCCTAAGTGTGTGTTATGCCCGTGTGCTGGTTCTAGGTTAGCCAGGGATTAGAGGCTGAGGGGGTCAGATGGGACCTTCGTGACCATCTTGTCTGACCTCCTGTATAACCCGGGTTATAGAACTTCCCCCCCAAAATAGTGCCTAGAGCAGATCTTTTAGACAAACATCCTGGGCATGGCAGGGGCCGTCGCCCCTTAGTGATTCTAACAGGAACAGGGGGTAAGCGGCGGGCCTGCACGGCTCCAGGGGGTTGGTAGGAGATGCAACCATTCAGCGCTGGGGGCCGGTTCCAATCCAGCGCAGGCTGCTTTCTACTCAGCGACAGGCTAGACCAGAGGGGCACATCCCAACCAGCCCTTGGTGGGTGACCACAAAGGGGTGCACAGGCCAGGGAGATGGATGGTGCCCCCACCTCACCCCTATGGTGGTGCTACCCCTAGGGCGCCGTGAGTGGCAGGTTGGCGGGGCCCTGGGGGCCAAGCTGGCACTGCTCCTGCCCAGGCTGCAGCCAGTGAGCCAACGTCCCTGTGACCCCACCAGGCCTCACACGTCCAACCCCACAGCAGGCCCCTCCCTAGCAGGGGAACGTGCCAAAATCCCTCTGAGGGGAAGAGGCGGGGGTGTGTCTCGTGGTCCAAGGGTCCCCTTTGGGGGGGCGTGTCCAGGCTGGCCGCCAGGGGAGGGTAACTGTCACTTAGCCTCAAGAGGTGAAAGTAAGCTGGTACGCCCCAGTACGGCGAGGCGGCAATTTAAAGGGCCTGGGGCTCCCAACAGTGGCTGGAGTCCCAGGCCCTTTAAATTGCTGCCAGAGCCCCACTGCTGGAGCCCTGGGGTAGCGGCAGCGGGGCTCCGGGGGTAATTTAAAGGGCCGGGCTCCCGCTGCCTCTACTGCCCTGGGCCCTTTAAATAGCCGCCGCTACCCCAAGGCCCCGGGGGCTAGTTAAAGGGCTGGGGCGGTAGCAGCAGGGGAGCCCCACTGCCGGAGCCCTGGGGTAGCAGCAGCAGCCGGGGGCTCCGGCAGCGGTTTAAAGGGGCCGGGGCAGTAGCAGCGGCGGCGGAGCCCTGGGACCTTTAAACCGCTGCCGGAGCCCCTGGCTGCTGCTACCCCGGTGGGGGGGCCTGGCTCTGACCCCCCCATCCCCGCCCCTTTTGCCCGAGGCCCCGCCCCTTCCGGGGGCCAACCCCGGCCCCAACCCAGCCCCCTACTGGTAAGTCCCTATTTCTACTTTCACCCCTGCTCAGCCTGTCCGGTCCCGTGCAGTCCGCTCAGCTGTCGGCCACCGCTGCCTCCCTCGTCCTCGGCGCCGCCGCCATGGCGGGGGGTCTAGATTCGCTGGAGAAATGCCTGGAGCGGCACCTCCCCCCCGAGGAGCTCGGCGAAGTGAAGCGGATCCTCTACGGGAACCTGAGCAGGTGCGGGAGGACTACAGCTCCCAGCAGCCCCTGCGTTGCTGTGGGACTGAGGCGGCGTTGGGGGGGGCGCCTTAGCTCGGTCGGCTTTTGGGGGGGGGGTAACCTAGCCTAGGGGGCGTGGCCATTGCTGAAGGCCTTTGGGGCGCAGGTTCGCCCGAGGCGTGGCGCCCTTGCCGTGTCCCGCTGCTGTTGCCCGCCCTGGCGGTTGGCAGGCGCGCGGCGCTCGGGCTGCCGGGGGGGGAAGGCGCGCGCGCGCCCTGTCCCGCGCGCGCCCTTGATTCCGCTCCTTTGCCGTTTCAGAAAACTTGCCTTGCCGGCTGCGGCTCTGTCGGCCGCGAGCCACAGGGCGTTCGAGCTGCAGGGCTGTGGATTTGGCGCTGCGCCCGAGCAGCTGAGGCAGCCCCGTGTTGTTCGAGTGGGGCTGGTTCAGAATAAAATCCCCCTGCCCACAGACACGCCCGTGGCGGAACAGGTACAGTCACCGGCACAGGGGGCTCTGGGTCAGCCGGCTACAGCTCGTCTGTTGGATCAACTCCTGTCCCATGAGCCTGGCGGCTTCAATGCCTAAAACTCGGACACTGAACTCAGGGACTCTTGGGCGCCTGTCTTCACTCCCGCCCCACATTGGCACAGCTGCCTCGTCTGGTAAAGACACAGTGTGTGGCAGGAGAGTGCTCGCCCATGGAGGTAATTGCTCCACCCCAATCATAGACTATCAGGGTTGGAAGGGACCTCAGGAGGTATCTAGTCCAACCCCCTGCTCAAAGCAGCACCAATCCCCAGACAGATTTTTACCCCAGTTCCCTAGAGAAGTGGAAGCTATGTCGGCGGGAGCTAGGTTTGCCAACTTTGGTTGGTCCTGTTCCTGGAGGTTTTGTCACGTAACATAATCTTTTAATTAAAGATTAATCTTTAATTCCTGGAGACTCCAGGACAATCTTGGAGGGTTGGCAACCCTAGAGGAGAGCATCACATCACACCCCTGAGCGGTGTAAATTATGACTGTAAAAAGTGGTAGTGTAAATGAGCTGTTAGACTGAGAGGCTGGTCATGTGTCTCATTACAACAGTATGTAATCTCTTAACACTTCTTTGTCCAGTGATTGCAGAGGTGATAATTGTGCACATCATCCTGAATGGTCTCTTGCAACATGTGTTAACTCCTCATATTTATCAGTCTGTTCCACTTTGTACTGAGCTGTGACACTGAGCTGAGGTCTATGTTACAGACCTATATCGGTATAACTACGTTGCTTAGGGGTGTGAAAATCCACACCCTTGAGTGATACTGATCTACAATTCCCCCCCACACCGTGTAGACAGTACTGTGTTGACGGGAGAGCTTCTCAAGGAGGTGGATTAACTACGCTGCTCTCTCATAGGCGTAGGAACATCTTCACTAAAACGCTACCGCGGCATAGCTGAATTACTGTACGTGAGAACAAGCCCTGAGTACCTTTCCCAGACCTCTGCGTCTCTCAAAGCTTGTCTCATTCACCAACAGTGTCACACTATCAGTTGTGCATTTCTTGTGTTGTCCGCTATCAGTTTTAGGGCCTATGTTACCTAATGGCCTTGGATTTGACTTGTTGAATGGTAAATTGCCAAGAAGTCTTGTGACTCAAAGTAGAACACGCAGCTCCATCAGAAAATCTCATTTCTATTGTTTACTTATTTATTTGCCCAACCTATTTGTAGTTTTCTTGAAGCTAAATATTTAGTTGTTGGCTTTCTAAGCTAAAAGCCTTTACCTGTCAAATAAACCAGAAAAGTCTCATGTTCAGAGAATTGAAGTCGATGATTGCAGAATGCAGGGTTGGTGATTTGTATAAATTCTACCCTCTAAAACTCTTTATACCGCAGTAAGTCAAAGGTCTGAGGGGAGTCTTTCACCAAATGAACACCGGCGTGTCTGTGATACAAGATACACACCTGAAGGTGTGTATCTTGTAAGTTTTATGTAAATCTATAAAGTCTTTTTAAAAGCAAAATGAAGGTGAATTTCACATTTGTGAAATATGCTGGACTGATAGTCCGGTTTATCCACAGGGCAGAAAGTTCACTCAGACACTGTGTTTTGGAGAGAGAGAAAGTAGCTCATTCTCTGTGTTAGTCAAGTTCTTCCTTTATCTGTGCGGTCTGCCAAAAAGAGTGCCAGTTGCTGCCATTTGTTATGTGGATGCCTCTCCACTAGAAACTGGCCCGAGACCACCAAGTCATTTTGCATAACGCTACACAGCTGTTATATCTGTTTGGTCGGTATCCGTCTGGGTTGGATTTGAGATGGGTGTGTGTGTGTGTGTGTGTGTGTGTGTGAATGGCTCCAAATCTCATTGCCACTGCCCCTATGCCTCCTTGTAACTAGAGTTCTCCAGTGAGAAGAGTTCCTGTGTAAAGTTTTTTAACTAATTAAAGAAAAATACAAACTGTCCATCACTGGTGCACTGCTTGGTTCTTCTTAGGGATGCACTAAAACATGCTTTGAGGGTAATAACGTGTATATTGCTGATTGAAGCATGTTTACTAACTCTGTGTGTGTGCGCGTGCGCATTTCAAGCCTCAGAGCATGAGCTTCTCTCATTAGACCCAGAGCATATGCCAAAAGGAGGAGCTTGTCTGCATTTCAGAAGTAGCCAGTCCATGGCCATCCCTGCCCCCGATCATCCCATCTCTCCTTTATCCAAACATAAGCAACTGTCCCATGGATAACCATAGGGCCGATGGCCTAACTTCTAGTCAAAGAACTTCTGGTCGAAGTTGTCAGATGTATGGGGCTCAAGAGTGAAGCAACATACTGCTCCAACAAGCATTTTGTCAGTTCATAGCTCTGCTAGCTCCAGGGCTGGTATTTTAGGGGAAGTTCTGGAATCTACATGTGCTTGTAGGATGTACAGCTCTCTCTAACCTCTAGTGGTGGTATGCTTACTCATTCACATTGCTAAGTGTCACATCTCAAAACCGCATCAGCAAGGTTTTTTGTGTGTGGCTCTTTTAAGGTTTATAGATCTCTAATGCACATGTAGGGACTAAAGGCCAGTTTTTTAACTGTATCTAGAATAGAATGCCTAAAGTTGTAGATATGTGCTTTTGAAAATCCCATTATGCACCTATCTGAATGTTTAGGCACCTAAATACCTTTAAAAATGCCCTAACTCTTTAGGGCCTAATTCTGCAACCATTGCTTTTGTTGAGCAGTAACTTACCCTAGAAGTATTCTCACTGAAATTAATGGGGCGAAGTGCCAAGCAAGGTACTACTTAGTGTGAAAGGTGGCAGAACCAAAACCTTAATGTTACAAGTGAATTATGATGTATGAGTTTTTATAGAGTCAAATTTCTTACAACCAGGTGGCTGCACTGCACAGGCGAATAGAGGAGATCGTGGAGGTGGCTGCAATGTGTGGGGTCAATGTGATCTGCTTTCAAGAGGCTTGGAGTGAGTATTTTCTGTAGCCTCCCCAAGTCCAGATTCTTTGCCTTTAAAATGCTTAAATTTCTGAAAATAGCCAATTCCTCTCCATTTAACAGGTACCCTATATTTAAAAAATGTTCCACCGCAACTATGAAACAGAGATTCCAGGATACAATCCACTGATCATAATCTTAAAAGAATCCTTGTTAACAGAGCTGAGTGTAGGTCCCATGTAGGTCTGCAAAGGCAGGGCCTGCATCTCGGCGATGCTTTTAGTTATGCTTACTGTGTGTTCTTTCACCTGCTCTTCCCCTTTTCTTCCTTGGAAGTTTTGTTTGATTTTAGGAAGATTCTCAATAGCAGAAAAATAATATTTAAATGAAAATGGAGGATGTGTGGGGTTAGGACTGTGGCCAAAACCAAAATTGAAGGACCTCTTGTGAGACTTTTGGGGGGAAATACGTCTTAGTCATTAATTTGTAGGTTTCTTCCTCAGACACTCCTTCAGGGGATCCTCTGCCCCGTGTGAGATAGTGGGTAATCTTCCCCTCTCATTTCACCTATACTAACTTCACCCTCCTGATCTCTAATCATAACCACCTCTCTTCTGGCCAGCCAGTCCTCCCATTTCAAATTAGTAGGGACTCAGCCTGGCTTCTTAATTGAACAAATGTTGGCTGATGACAAGATGCTGTCTTTGCTCCATAGTGTTGAGTGATTGTGCGACACTTCTTGTCCTTCCTGGGCTGTGGAGTGTCACGGAGTGTGGGGGGACTCAGGGCCCTGCACCTCCGGCTTCCTGCGATTCACCATGACTCTCAGCCATCCAGTAAAGCAGAAGGTTTATTTAGACGACAGGAATACAGTCCAAGACAGGTCTTGCAGGCGCAGACAACAGGTCCCCCCTCAGTTAGGTCCATCTTGGGGTCCTCGGGCACCCCAGCCCCCCTCCGGAGGTCAGAGCCCTCCCTGCCTGCCAGCCACCTCACCAACCAGCTTCCCAGACTCTGCCTTCAGCGACCCCTCCCACAGCCTTTGTTCAGTTTCCCGGGCAAAGGTGTCATCTGGCCCCAGCCCCCTCCTGGGTTCTCATGTTACATGCTCAGGTATTCTCCTTCGGTCAGTCTCCCATCCCCCAATGCAGACCGTCCCAGCCACACTCCCCTGTCAGCATTCCAAGACCACAGTAAGAACAGTCCCAGTTCATCACATGGAGTAAGAGGAATTTAGATCCTGGTCTGCTGCATATAGAGCACTGGAATTATATGTGGCTGGTCTTGTCACGGTGTCTCTGTGAGAATGCAGCCTAGAAAATCTAAAGTTTAGAGACCCCTAAATGACACATTCTCAAGAATCAAACTCCTTTGTACAAGGAGAAGGAGATAGCAGTACCATATTCAGATGTGGTCATTATTTCTCAGTTTTCACAAAAGCAACTTCTGAACACATTTCATTGACCTGTTTTATATGAGTAAAGCAGAACCCATCCCATACCAGCTCAGTGATCTGAAGCCTTTGTATTGACTTCTCATGTTGGTATTTTTCTAGCTATGCCCTTTGCATTCTGTACAAGAGAGAAGCTTCCATGGACTGAATTTGCTGAGTCAGCAGAGGATGGTCTGACAACAAGGTTCTGCCAGAAGGTAAAAAGCTGAATTCATGCCATTGTGTAGTGATCACTTTTTGTATATCAGTCTTATATGTTGTAAGAATTAAAGAACCAAAAATAATTTTCACTGTATTGTGAGAGCTAGTGAAAATGCAAATGGACAACAACACATGTGCAATATGAAACAGTTTTAAAAAAAATCTTACTTTACCCTTATATAGTGCCTTTTACCCTGTAGGATATGTGAGACTTCCTATCCTGATTTTTTCCATATTTTTACAAGAAGAAAATAAGCTTCACAGCCAGTCACCTTTAACTTCTAGTCAAGAAATTCCTTTTGAATGGAACAGACTATGCATTAGCAAAGCATTATACAAAGAATATTAACTGATGAGTTAACTAATGTTCTGAAAAGGAAACACTCTCATATGATTTTTCTACATCCTTCTTCTGACATGTAACACAGAATGCCGCTTTCTGTGCACCAGAGGTGACCTTTTATTAGCTGGCAGTCATTTGGCCAGGGATCGCTAAGTGAAAGAGTGATTGTGGGATAATTTTCACCTTCTGCCATCTTAAATAGTCTACAGCTCTTTTGTTTTATAAGGGACGTTGTATTTTTCTTTATTAAATGATTCACTGACATGATCAGGTTTGTTGTGGGCCTGAATCTATCCAGATGTGATCTGACCTACTAAACATGTATGTGTAACGACCTTACAGCTTCAGTCTGACTTGGGCCAAGTGTGGGGCACTTCTCAATATGGGGTTAATGACCTAAGGGCAGATCCTGAAAGAAATATTCAGACTTATGGAAAAGTAAAATGACATGAAGGGAAAGAAGAGAAAATGTCATTTAACCAAAGATTAAATAACTTATCAGTACTAAAATTTAGTGCAAAATATTCTTGCTAGAATATTAAAAGGTACTGTGATGCTATGATTCCTGTGGATAAGGCAGCACCTATACTTTTTAACATAAATGCATTTACATGTGTGGATCCACTACATACTGTATAACTACAGTAACTCGTTGATCAAAGGCTTTCTTATATTTGATCTATTGCAATAAAGAGCAATTTAGGCACAGGAGCCAGCAAACAGAGCTGTAAACAGGGGAGTTTGAGTGGGAGTTCTTAAGGGGAGTTTGTGGGGAAGACTAGGACAGACAGGCTAGTGAAGGGAGTGTGTGGTGTTCTGGCAGTGTTGTGGTGCTCGTGGGGGGTTTGTTTTGCTGTGGGTGGTGGTTTGGTTTGTGTTTCCCGGACTAACAGGACTTAGGTGGAAAGGCTATGACAGATACAGAGGCAGCAGTGGTAGTGACCCAAGCAGTGGAAGACACAATGAAGATGACTGGATGTGGAAGCTGTGGTATCTACATGATCCTGGAGGGGGTACCTGAAAAGAGTTTTGTTTGCATGAAGTGTTGCTTGATAGAGCTGATGGAAGAAAAGATCGGAGGACTGGAGATGCAGGTGGAAACTCTGGTTGAGTTTAGAAGGGGGTTCGAGCAGATGATGGAGCAAAGACATGAGGAGGCTGAAGGGAAAAGCTCAGACTTGCAGATGGAAGCAGGACCAAAGAACTCTGAGGGGAGACTGCTGGGTGAGGAAAGTGGACAGTGGAAGCATGTGACTAAGAGAACCAGGCAGAGGAAAAGATGGGCTAGTGAAGGAGAAATAGAGCTCAGGAACAGGTTTGTGGAATTGGAAAATGAAGACGGGGCACAGCAGATGGTCACTGAAGGTGAGAGGGCAAGGAAGAAGAGAGGAGCAGCTAGTTCTATAGAAAGAGGGGAAGAGTCAATGGAGATAACAACACCAAATATGAGCCCCAGGAGGATACAGGCTGGGTTACAAAGGATTGCAAGGGAGAATAGAAATCAAGAGGACTTGCAGCCAGAGGGAACAGGGGATAGACCAGAGAATCGCACCATCACCAGGAAAAGGCAGGTCTACATTACTGGGGACTCCTTACTGAGAAGAATGGATAGGCCTGTAACCAGAGCTGATCCAGAGAACAGAAGGGTGTGCTTTCTGCCGGGTACTAAGATACGGGATGTGGACCTGAAGCTGAAGGGGATCCTAACGGGAGCGGGAAAGAATCCACTGATTGTCCTTCATGTGGGAACAAATGATACAGCTAGATTCTCACTGGAACGTATCAAGAGAGACTATGCTGGGCTGGGGATGACGCTTAAGGAAATCGAGGCTCAAGTGATCTTCAATGGGATTCTGCCTGTTCCTAGAGAAGGATAACAAAGTTGTGACAAGATTATGATGATCAACAGATGGCTCAGACAGTGGTGCTATAAGGAGGGCTTTGGGATCTGTGTCTAGGGTTTTTGATTTCAAAAGGGCAAGCTTTAAAAAATTAAGGAAATTAGTTAGGGAAGTGGATTGGACTGAAGAACTTGGGGATCTAAAGGCAGAGGAGGCCTGGAGTTACTTCAAGTCAAAGTTGCAGAAACTATCAGAAGCCTGCATACCAAGAAAGGGGAAAAAATTCATAGGCAGGAGTTGTAGACCAAGCTGGATGAGCAAGCATCTCAGAGAGGTGATTAAGAAAAAGCAGAAAGCCTACAAGGAGTGGAAGATGGGTGGGATCAGCAAGGAAAGCTACCTTATTGAGGTCAGAACATGTAGGGATAAAGTGAGAGAGGCCAAAAGCCATGTAGAGTTGGACTTTGCAAAGGGAATTAAAACCAATAGTAAAAGATTCTATAGCCATATAAATAAGAAGAAAACAAAGAAAGAAGAAGTGAGACCGCTAAACACTGAGGATGGAGTGGAGGTTAAGGATAATCTAGGCATGGCCCAATATCTAAACAAATACTTTGCCTCAGTCTTTAATGAGGAGCTTAGGGATAATGGCAGGATGACGAATGGGAATGAGGATATGGAGATAGATATTACCACATCCGTGGTAGAAGCCAAACTCGAACAGCTTAATGGGACTAAATTGGGGGGCCCAGATAATCTTCATCCAAGAATATTAAAGGAACTGGCACATGAAATTGCAAGCCCATTAGCAAGAATTTTTAATGAATTTGTAAACTCAGGGGTTGTACCGTATGACTGGAGAATTGCTAACATAGTTCCTATTTTTAAGAAAGGGAAAAAAAGTGATCCGGGTAACTACAGGCCTGTTAGTTTGACATCTGTAGCATGCAAGGTCTTAGAAAATTTTTTGAAGGAGAAAATAGTTAAGGACATTGAGGTCAGTGGTAAATGGAACAAAATACAACATGGTTTTACAAAAGGTAGATCATGCCAAACCAACCTGATCACCTTCTTTGAGAAGGTAACAGATTTTTTAAACAAAGGAAACGCAGTGGATATAATTTACCTCGATTTCAGTAAGGCATTTGATATGGTTCCACATGGGGAATTATTAGTTAAATTGGAAAAGATGGGGATCAGTATGAAAATTGAAAGGTGGATAAGGAACTGGTTAAAGGGGAGACTACAACGGGTCATACTGAAAGGTGAACTGTCAGGCTGGAGGGAGGTTACTAGTGGAGTTCCTCAGGGATCGGTTTTGGGAGCAATCTTATTTGATCTTTATTACTGACTTTGGCACAAAAAGTAGGAGTGTGCTAATAAAGTTTGCGGATGACACAAAGCTGAGAGGTATTGCCAATACAGAGAAGGACCGGGATGATCTACAGGAAGATCTGAATGACCTTGTAAACTGGAGTAATAGTAATAGGATGAAATTTAATAGTGAAAAGTGCAAGGTCATGCGTTTGGGATTAATAATAAGAATTTTTGTTAAGCTGGGGACTCATCAGTTGGAAGTAACAGAGAAGGACCTCAGAGTATTGGTTGATCACAGGATGACTATGAGCCGCCAATGTGATATCGCCATGAAAAAAGCTAATGCGGTCTTGGGATGCATCAGGCAAGGTATTTCCAGTAGAGATAAGGAGGTGTTAGTACCGTTATACAAGGCACTGGTGAGACCTCATCTGGAATACTGTGTGCAGTTCTGGTCTCCCATGTTTAAGAAGGATGAATTCAAACTGGAACAGGTACAGAAAAGGGCTACTAGGATGATCCGAGGAATGGAAAACCTGTCTTATGAAAGGAGACTCAAAGAGCTTGGCTTGTTTAGCCTAATCAAAAGAAGGCTGAGGGGAGATACGATTGCTCTCTATAAATGTCAGTGGGATAAATACCAGGGAGGGAGAGGAATTATTTAAACTCAGTACCAATGTGGACACAAGAACAAATGGATAGAAACTGGCCATCAGGAAGTTTAGACTTGAAATTAGACGAAGGTTTCTAACCATCAGAGGAGTGAAGTTCTGGAACAGCCTTCCAAGGGGAGCAGTGGGGACAAAAGACATATCTGGCTTCAAGACTAAGCTTGATAAGAGTATGGAGGGGATGGTATGATGGGATAGCCTAATTTTGGCAATTAATTGATCTTTGACTGTTAGCGGTAAATATGCCCGATGGCCTGTGATGGGATGTTAGATGGGGTGGGATCTGAGTTACTACAGAGAATTCTTTCCTGGGTGTCTGGCTGGTGAATCTTGCACACATGGTCAGGGTTTAGCTGATCGTCATATTTGGGGTTGGGAAGGAATTTTCCTCCAGGGCAGATTGGCAGAGGCCCTGGGGGGTTTCGCCTTCCTCTGCAGCGTGGGGCAGCAATCCTCACTTGCTGGAGGATTCTCTGCACCTTGAAGTCTTTAAACTATGATTTGAGGACTTCAATAACTCAGACATAGGTTAGGAGTTTATAGGCTGACCAGATAGCAAGTGTGAAAAATCGGGACAGGGGCTGGGAGGTAATAGGTGCCTATGTGAGAAAAAGACCCCAAAATCGGGACTGTCCCTATAAAATTGGGACAGCTGATCACCCTAGGGGTTTATTACAGGAATGGGTAGGTGAGATTCTGTGGCCTGCGTTATGCAGGAGGTCAGACTAGACGATCATAATAGTCCCTTCTGACCTTAAAGTCTATGAGTCTAATTTAAATTCCTATTCAAAAAAGGATTTGCTCTTGGTGCACAGTGCCATGGTTCTATACCTAGCATAATTGGGGATCATCAAATTGTGTAATGTCTTTCTGCTATGTTACTAACACTAAATTTAATGGAAGGAAGAATACAAGGACAAACAATGCTTAAATGATGAGCAGCCAGTAGAATCTGGGACTTAGTTCTAGAGTGATTCCTGAGACATCCTTGGAAGACTCTGCCTTGCCTGAATCCTTTTGTTCCCAACTGTTGGAGTTCAGTTTCATGTGCCTCTGTATTGGTGCTGAAGAGAACCTGAATGCTTTATCCCATAGCTAAAAGCCAAACATGAGATGCTTTGCAAAGAGAATAAAAATGACTAGTAGGTCCAGACTGATTTAATAAATGTCTGCATAGAGTTGTCCACTTTCCATACTGTGACTTCACATGTCAGGCATTCGCAGGAAGGCCTTAGCAAATGCATTCATTAATCCTTTGCTCCGGTTCTCTGTAGAAGGCATCAGGAATCAGCCCCAGGGTTTATGGGAAGCTTTAGAATCTGAGGCTCAGGCGCAAGTTGTTAAGTAGAGCTGGTCAAAAATTCTGAGGAGAAACATTTTTTCAGCGGAAAATGGCTATTTGAATGAAAGGAGAATTTTCTTGGAAAATTTGTCACTGGAAAATAAGGGTAAAACAAAAATTGAAAAAAAATTCAGTTTTCTGTTTTGTTTTTTTGTTGAAAAACTGATTTATTATTTTTCAGAAAATAAAAAATGTTCTTTTAAGCATGTCCCATATTTTTATTTTTTTTACCTTTTTTCAACCAGCTCTTGTTACGCAAATCCACTAAGCAGTGTACCAGAATGAAGGAATGAGAGCAGGATTACACCCTCTCCCCCTGCTTATTTCTCAGCGGTTCCTTATGCCCCTCTTGGGTGTGGGTGGATCTGGCCTACAGGTTAAAAACTGCTGCTACAGCAGAACTCATCTAACTGGAACTCGATGCTTCTGCTAGAAGGATTCAGACTGGAAAGTTTTCACTGAGGTATCCCTCTCTAAACAAGAAAAAGGTTGTAACACTAGAGTTCCAGTACATCATATATTCATCACTAGTGCTTAGCTGAGGTCAGAATAATGCACAGAATGAAAACCTCTCCTGTATTCTACTTTGAGGGGAAAAAGATGAAAACAGAGTTAATCATAACAGGCTTTTCTGTAATAGAGATTTTCTATTCATTTCTATAGCTGGCAAAGAAGCACAATATGGTTGTGGTGTCTCCAATTCTGGAGAGAGATGATGTACATGGAGGAACTTTATGGAACACTGCAGTGGTGATTTCAAACTCTGGATCTGTCCTTGGGAAGAGCAGGAAAAATCACATTCCAAGGATTGGAGATTTCAATGAGGTGAGATGTAGCATTGCTTATAATAAACTGTCCTCACTTTGTAGCTCTTGCTTGTCTCTGTATGGTAGAGTGTTGGAAAGTGTACCTGCATAACTGTCCTGTCCATTTTGTCAAGGTAGAATTGTGTGGCTATGATGATGCCACTGAGGGGTTTCTGGTGCGCTCATAAATCACAAGCATGGAATATGATGCCACCAGAATCCCCAAGATGCTATTGTAGCTTTGATTTATTTTAAGTTATTTTCTTTGTTTTATAGTATTTCCCCAAAATAATCTGCTCCTCTCTATAGGTTATCAACCCAATGGGCTTTTCTATACAAAGCAACTTCACACACGGGGGGAGGGATAGCTCAGTGGTTTGAGCATTGGCCTGCTAAACCCAGGGTTGTGAGCTCAATCCTTGAGGGGGCCACTTAGGGATCTGGGGCAAAATCAGTACTTGGTCCTGCTAGTGAAGGCAGGGGGCTGGACTCGATGACCTTTCGTCCCTTCCAGTTCTAGGAGATAGGATATCTCCATTAATTTATTTATTTAAATATTGAGGAGCTTTATAAAAATTGTGTAATTCATAGCTATGGTGTGTCAGTTGTCGGGCACTGATGAAGTCATACTCCTGGTGAATTTCTTGTAAGCTGACGAGCCTTGTATTATATGGTTCAGGGATGAACTGTACCTGTAATCTCTTTGTATCTCTCCATGGGCGCTTCTTTCAGGTGACAGGCCTATACCTGCACTTCTCTAAGTAAAATCCTGCAATTCATCCCACTTTTGACTGGACCATGAGTTTACAGCACCTTTATTTACAAACCATATTACCTCCAGCAGAGCCAACTGGGTTTGACCCCGATCCAGAATTCTCTCAGGGAGCTGTAAATGCAAAGACAGAGAGCAACTTGTTCAAAACAGAGTATGATTTATTTATCTGTAGGAACATCACAAGCAGAGAGAAAAGGGTTAAAAATAACAAATGCCTAAATGCATATTGTCTTACCTAAACCTAACCTTTCCTTGCTAGTTTAAATAGATTCTGCTTAACCCAGGCAGCCCCAAAGCATTGGGTTGCACGAAGCAGGCTGCACGCCTGCAACTATTGCCTCTCTCATAGTCAGCCCTCCCCCACCATCCCGTCAGCATGCTGTGTCCCTCAAGATCCAAGCTGCCTTTTATCCATGTCAAAGTTCCTTTGTTTGAAATTTCCCACCCAGAGATCTCCTGATGTTTCAAGCCAAGCCCTGGAGCTGATGAAAGTGGTGTATGCATTTCTCCAGAGCGGGTTGGAGGGAGCCTTCAAACAGTGGATTCATAGTATTGTCTGAGCACCAGGCAACTGACTTCTGTCTTCAGTGATTGTTTCAGGTTCCTGAAAGATTTAACCCTTAGCTGCCTTTTAGCCAGCACTACAGTAACCACGAAATACTCCCCCTTCCCTACACACACACACACACACACACACACACACAAACATTCATAAAAATTAATACACATACCTTCCATGTCCTTCACACCTTATTTAACAGTTAAATCCATACATAATAAATACCATGTTCATACTGTATGGGCCTAGAACACTCTGTCTCAGAGGTTCCCAAACTGTGGTCTGTGCAGCACTTGCTGGTTGCATGTTTCTCTTCGTTTCCAGCTGTGAAACTGCAATGAAAGGCAGCTAAACTATATATACATATATATGATAAGTACTTTCACTTTTCTATTCATGCAATTGCTGCAGTTGCCACAGGGATGTTATGTGATCACCAATGGGAGGTGGTCCATGTGATCATGAGTGCCAGGAGAAGCATCAAAACAATCGATTAACATATTTAAACAATTTGACAATTCCTACTCTATCAGCTTCACTGTAAAGGGTAAGAACACCCCACCTTGTTAAAAAGTGTTGATCCTGCTTGGAAGGGGTTAAGGATATTCTGCTGGTGACTTGTTACTCTGCCTGGATATAACAGAGGTGGTCCTGGCTCTCTGAAAAGAGAGAGACAGACAGACCTGGGGTGAGGGCTGAGCAGCTCAGACTAGGAAGAAGGATTATTCCGATCTTTATTAACAGAGAAAACAACAATAAAGTAACAAAACCCAAACCTGAGGAGGGCAGTGAGTTGGACTTCTCAGACTGGGTGGACTGTCTCTGTGGAGCAGGTTGGGAAATCTGCCAGCTTGCAATCATCCATGGCAAATCAATGAGAACTAAATGTAAAGGGGGAAAAAGATTGGTTTCTAACCTTTTCAGCCCTATGTGGGAGGGTGTATAAATAAACAAAAATCAATCCTCCTTGAGACATCAGTTAGTTGCTGTGGAGATGATTATGACCTCTGGTGAGGAATAAAGAGCAAGAGCTGATGAATTCCCTCAAGCAATAACAATCTTGTTTTTCTTCTCCAATCATAGTAGAAAAAACAGAGGACTGAGAAATAAAAATAAATTAAAAAGATACAAAATAGGCAGATCTGTTTTGAAATAGAATTATTTATTAGAACATAACTGCCATGCTGGTCCATCTAGCCCAATATCCTGTCTCTGACAGTGGCTAGTACTAGAGCTTCAAGGGGAATTTGGGAATGATTCACCTTGTCTTCCACTCCTGTCTTCTGGCAGTCAAAGGTTTAGGGTTGCCTGGAGCATGGGGTTGCATCCCTGCCCATCTTGGCTAATAGCCATTGAGGGACCTATCCTCCAGGAATTTCTCTGTCTTTTTTGAACCCAGTTATCTTTTTTTGTCTTCACAACATCCCCTTGCAATGAGTTCCACAGATTGACTGTGCATTGTGTGAAGAAGTACTTATGTTTGTTTTAAACCTGCTGCCTATTAATTTTTTGCTCTTACCATTTTGGCATGGAGGGTAGGGTGATCAGGTTATAAAGTCTGTAGAGAATGCAGTATTGCTACAGGAACATGTGAAAAAGCCAGGTGGCACAGCACTTATGTCCAGCAGTGAGTAAAGAGAAGTAGAAATGGAACTGGAATTTAATCTTTACAGCTCAAGAGAGCCATTTCTGTTGGATCTGTACATACAGTGCAGGTATTTAGTGGCTGAGGGGTATTGTCTTTTCACATACTGTTTGTGCCTCAGAGATCTAGTGAATTTTAAAGGATGGTAGTGGGGGGTGGGTGAACTTGGAGACAATACCTGAAGACACCTGTGTGACGAAGTGGGACTGTTCTTAACGTTTCCTCTGAATACTGTGTGGGTGCCTCAGTTTCCCCCATGCATTTCTTAAGTCTCCAGTGTGCATAAATGGCTGACGCTTTGTATCCTGGCAACAAATGGCTGGGGCCCTTCCCCTCTGCAAGGGGATAGCGAAAGGTGAACAAAGATCAGGTGATCTCCTGGCCCGGGAAAGAGACAAAGGTCAGAAAGGAGGGGCTGGAGGGGGTTTCTGTTTGGGGCTGGCTGAGTGAGTGCAGACGGGGTTGTCTGGCTCGCTGGGCCCCAGAATGGACCTGGCTGAGGGATCCCGTTCTCTGTACCTACAAGCTCTGTTTTAGACCGTGTTCCTGTCATCTAATAAACCTCTGTTTTACTGGTTGGCTGAGAGTCATGTCTGACTGCGAAGTTGGGGGTGCGTGCAGGACCCTCTGGCTTCCCCAGGACCCTGCCTGGGTGAACTCGCTGTGGGAAGCGCACGGAGGGGCATATGCTGAATGTTCCAAGGTCAGACCCAGGAGGTGAAGCCGTGTGAGCTTCTTGCCCTGAAGACAGTCTGCTCCGAGGGAGAGGAGGCTCCCCAAAGTCCTGACTGGCTTTGTGGGGAGCAATTCCAGAGCATCGCCCGGGGACTCTGTGACAACCTGTTTGTGGTTTTTTTCCTAGTCTACTTACTATATGGAGGGCAACACAGGGCACCCTGTGTTCCAGACTCCGTTTGGAAGGATTGCTGTGAATATCTGTTTTGGGCGCCATCACCCCCTGAACTGGCTCATGTACAGTCTAAATGGAGCAGAGATTATCTTTAACCCTTCAGCTACTACTGGAGAACTCAGGTAAAGTACAAACAACTTGTGGGCTGTCCATTGCTTGGGATGAGCTGTATTGTGGAGTGAAATACCTGCTCGTCCCATGTTTCCTGAAAGAGGAAAACCATACTTGTTTTTCCTAAATGTTTCTTTTGGACAGCAACATTTTAAAAATGTTTTGAATTACACTTAATTTTTTTTGGGGGGGAGGATATCAGTTTGGAGTGGCTCACAACGGTGAGTGCCTACAACAGGGCAGACTGTCAAAAGCAGGGCAGACACCCCAAACTGATGTTGTGTTCTATAATTAGATTTCACCAACCTAGTAACAAATGTGAACTCCTGGATCACTATATCAGTCTTACCATAGAGTCACAGACAGTCCCCTTAGACTCTCTAGTCTATCTTGCCACCCAGACAAACTGGACTTTCTGATAAAAGGTCACTTATACCAAAATCACACCAGATTCAGGTTGCTCCCAGTCCCAAGAGAACCATCACTTACCCCAGATCAATTGGTATCCTAGATCTTACACGAAAGGCAACACTGGTAGCCAATTCTAGAGTAAACTAACTAAAGGCTTATTAGCTAAGAAAAGGAAATAAAAGTTTATTGAGAGGTTAAAGCAGGTAAAATATATGTACAGGTGAGACACAGTTTGTGATTCCAAATGGTGGTAGTGATGTAATAAATTTCCAGTTTCCCAAAAGTCTTTTCAAGGTACCGAGATTGTCTCTAGGGATCTCCACTTTGCATCTGGTATCCTTCCCTGTAAGAGTCCAAACACTCCAGAGATGAGAGATCTTTCCCTGAATCCATACTTCTAGCTTCTTCTCATAGGAAACAAGCGACAGGGTCACTACCCACGTGGGCTCTTTGGGGACGGAGAGTGAGGAATGCATTTAGAGTCTTTGATCTCCAATCACCACATAAAATGACCACTTGATTTGAAATTAGCACTTTGCTATTAAAGTTCTTCATTTGCATTCCATAAGGCTTCTTTCTCAGATTGATGGGTTATTTAGTTACAGGGGTATAGACGATGTAAATATTTGCTATTACAATGGGATACAGATAAGTTAAAACAGTGCATGTAACATCCCATTACTTTTTATGACGTTTAAACACCGAATACACTCTCATACATTTAGCAGTCACTTTGCTCTATACTGCTACACAAGTGAATTGGCCTGGTTTCCAGCTATGCATTTGTAAGCCTTCAGTGAGGCCTGGGGCTTTGGCATGAGCTGGCACATGGTCTGCCAGTATCACAAGTGCATCTATTAGCTAAGGTCCAGTATTCCAGAATGTGTCAATGTATCATCTTGACACACAGTATAGTACATGTACTTTTTCATTTATCCAAATGACAGTGGAGTCCGAAAGAAATCCAGTTCTGTAGGATGTACACTCCTCTACTAGTAAGCAGTGTTGCCTGACCTGTTGATTATGTATTTATTATATTGATTATACTCAGAGGATTAGTAGGTTCTCATCCCAAGATCAGGCCCAGTATTATTAAAATTACTATCCAGTTGGGAGCCCCGACATGCGTGGTTCCAACACTCACACTTAGGAAAACCTTTTGTATTTGTAATAGTTTTATTAACACAATTAGTAAAGTTACAAACCCTCCAACCCAGCAAGGTAGCTAGAGAGAATACAGAATGTGCATCTGAACATCCATATACTCATACCATTCTTTGCAAAAGGATCCAAAATGTTACTCATCACCCTCACTGTCAGATTCACTATCGCCAGTGGCCACCATCCTGGCATCTCCCAAGCGTCACATCACCCCAAGGTATGTAGGCTGGGATACAACTTTGATAAAGTGTTACGCTGAAACCACTATGCCAAATGTATATTCAGTAGGGGTTTCATTCTCTTTTCCTTATTTGTATTTCCTCACCCTACTAATGTTGGGGTGCCCTTCTCCTATAGTTACTAATCCTTTTACCTCAAGTTTATTAGCATATACATCAGTTAATTACTGTGGCACTTTGGTGGTCAGCCATCTGCTGATGTTCGTAATTTAAAATATACCAAGCTGGTATAAATTAGCATCTTATAGTTAGCTTATCAGCAGTTTAGTCATTCTTGCATATTACACCATTCTATCTTGGGATATCTTGTGATCTAGGGATACTCTTGGTTAGCTGTTTATGCTAAGGCTTTTTGAGCCTTGTGCGTTGATTAGTTTAACTAAGCTATTCTCTTACAGGCCTTGAGGTTTGGGGGCTCATTGCAATACTATCTTAACTTAGACCTATGCCTTATCTATTGGCTACAGATGGTGTGATACTGTTTTATGCTCTGTGGTATAAATGCAGGTATTCAAATGTGCATTTTTTTTTTTTAGGAATTTATACCATATTATCTTTTTTCTGTTCCCTTAATGTTGCCCTTTTTATAAAGATGCTCCTCTGAGTGGGAAATTCACTAAGCTTTATACCAGGAATCAAGTTATCAAGGAGGAAGTTATATGAATTAGTTATTTTGACATAATGGTCACAAACAGAGTTAGTGGATTCCTTGAGTCATCTTCCCTGCCCTACATCAGGTTCTTAATTAGCTCTGTTTTGATGCTAAGAGTCAAATGGGTTAAGTTAAGTAAAAGCCGAGTTCAAACATATATATTTCTGGGGCAGGAAGTGTCTCTCACTCTTTGTTTATAGAGTGTCTAGCATAGTGAGGCCCCAATTTCAGTTGGTATCTAGGTGCTAATGTAGTACCAATAAGAAATAATAATAATGTTACCATTTTTGACCTAAGCACTTGTTTCCGTTAGGAGCAATTGATGATGGAGTCAGGTGCAATCCTGTTTATTTACAAAGAACGTACATAAAATCCTGTTTTCCTGAATGCACTAGGAATCAAACAGCAGGAGGCAGTTATTTACTCACAGTTCCAAGCCTCTTTCCAGCCAGCACTCTACCCAAATGTGCTCTTTCTCAGTGTCACACTACAAGTGCTTCTCTGGCTGGCTGGTAGGCTTCCTGGCTACCTTTCCTGTGTGCTTCTGTTGTGTTTGTACTGCCTCTCTGCCCCCTTCCCACACCCTGCAATCAAATCAGTATCCCATCCCTGTGTTTGTGTTCAGACCCCCATGAAACTCCTTGGCCTAGTGGTCTAGTCCTTGGGCAGTGGTTTCCATTGCTTCAGCCATCACTAAACAAAGGGGCATTTAGTTTCCCCCTCATTTAGCCTGAATGGAAGGCAACTAGTATAACATGCCTAACAATTTCATCAAGGTGGGGTGATTGCCCAACCCCCAGCATAACAATAATATTAATATATTCAGTAATGCTGAGCCTGTTTCAGAAGCTCACTCCTTCCCTAGGTGAGGAGCTGTTCGATAGAACATTTTGTAGGCAGCATTAGAGGACTCTAATAAGTTAAGCCCCAGTAATGCAAGGAACTCTATAGGGGTGCAGAGCTCCTGGCAGAACTGAGACCATAGTGCTTCCTGTTTGAGGTAATAACCACTTCCTGGGCTGAATAAACTGTCTTTGAGTCTGTCAGACCCAGAATATGGCTGTTATCAAGGTAACAGGAAGCCCTGTTGAGTTGTTTTTAAGCTACTGAAATTTTAAATGTAATATTCAAATTGAAAGTGAAGGAAGAAAATCTTACAGAAGGAATCAACTTCTCTAAACTAACTGAACCCCCTTTAGGCCCCTGCTTTCCCTTTCTCTGACTCAGCAGGGCTTGTCTGTCCAGAATAATTGCAATATATCTTTGCTTTCATTGTCTTTAAAAACAAAGAGGGGACAGGCCTCTCCCAGTGTAAACTGTGTAAACATAAATGTATGAGTTATTCTGGGAACAAGAGCCCTGCTGAACGGAACAGGAGAGAACAGAAAAGTTTTAAATCATGGAGAAGGAATTCATTTTTTAAAAAGTTTTGACAGCCCCATTTTCTGTGCTCTCCGCTGGCTCCCCTTCTCTTTCATGTAAATTTGGAATTTTTCTGCATCAGCCGAAGGGATTGAAGCAGCGAGGCCAATCTTTGTTGCTGGCAAACAGCTTGAACATTCTGAATACGTGAGCCACTCGGAGTAGGGAGATTGCAGTAGCCAGAGAACTGTGATTATGGATAAATAAGTGCATAGTGAATACATAAATCACGCACCCACAACCAAGCCCAGTACAGGGAATTGTATATTTGGAGTGGTGTGGAAGGGAACTATAATTTTGAATCAGTAAGTGTACAGCATCCTGTCACTCAGACTTCCTAAGGCAATTCTGTTTCCCGATAAGAGCTGATAGCTGCTGATTTAGGTTGTTTAATATTGGAAAATGTCCTTCGAAAAGAGTTTAGTAAATACAGAGTCACTTGTAGTGGGCTTTACAAATATCACCATTAAAATAATGTTTGTGATGTTGGTCCATTTACAGCCCATTAGGAGGAGAGCAAACAGAAATTACACTGCCTTCCTGAGGCACTTCATTGCTTTTCTGGGTGCTCCAGGCTCTCCTGATTATTAGCTTTCTTCTCTTGGGTGCTTTTTGAGGGTATAATTTTTATTGCAGGAAGAGGACTCTTGAGTCCCATGCAGAAAAGAGTCCTAGGAAAATGGAAGAAAGCTGTTCTGTAGTAACCTCTTGGCTATACTCTCTTTTCCCTCAGTATTTCTCCTTCCTTCTGTGAAATTGTAATTTGCAGGAGCCTTTCAACAAAGTCCCTTTTTCTTAGAAGTGCTGGCAGGTTGGCTCAGCAGTGGGGGGGGGGGGGGAGGAGAAGAGCGGGAATAATAAACCAAGTCCTTTCAGTCGAGCCAATGAGCATCTTGTAGGTGCCTGAGTCTTCTTGAGATTTACTTATAACAGTCATCCACCCACACTCTCCCCTTGGAGCTCAATATTGGGCAGCTACATGCTGTTGTGAGGGTGATTTTGCAGAGGAGTGTACACCCAGTCACTCGTTTTTTCAGTGCTGTAGGTACTGTCAAACCATATCTTCTCGAATGATCTGATCCCTGTGTCTCACTATGCTTAATGAAAGGAAGGCTTCCTGCGTTTTCAGTGAGACAAGGGGAGTGAAGTAATATCTGTTATGGGCCCAACTGCTGTTGATGAGAGAGAGAGAGAAGTTTTCGAGCCACACAGAGCTCTTCTTCAAAAGTTAATCTAATAAAATATATTACCTCACACAACTTGTCTCTCCAATATCCTGGGACTGACATGGCTAAAACTACACTGAGTTTTCAGTGTCTCCAAAATTGAATCCCAGTTTCAAAAAGGCCTGAGGGGTTAAGGTGGAGGAGGAGGAATTCTTTCACATTTCTCAGTTCTTGGTTTTCTATACAGTGTGGAGACTGGTTTAATGGATAATGATTGAAATGTTACAGGGCTGCTTTTGTCAAGCTTGCTCTTTTGTTCTGTCAGCCCAGCACAGGGGAATGACTTGTTGAAAATTTCTATGAAACCTGCAAGCAGAAGGGGTGGAATTTTTTTTTCTAGCTTTCAGATAATCTAGTTTCCCATTGCCTGCCTCAGAAACTGCTCCTGGAGAAAGGGGGAGGGGGGCAATTAGAGCGAGAAACTTTCTACACTGCTGCAAAATATTATTTGGATTCCTGAAAATTAATGTATAAGTCTTCCAGACTGTTTTGAAAAAAATTTCTCCCAATAACTTTAATGAAAGGTGTATATCTAAATTCCCTGGACTGCTTGAAAATCTCAAGCCAGGCATTTAAAACTCTCATCATGGTGGTCACCATTAAAAGTCAACATTTGCCATGTTACCAGATAAAATAGCCTCTCCCTATATGTGGAATGGAAATAATGTTGGTAACTATGCTGAATCTGGTGGAAATTGCTGACTATTAATGGTGACCACTCTTTGTGATCCAAGATCATTGACAGGAGTTGGCTGTAGTTAGCTTTGGTTTCCCTGATCGAGAGGCTCAAGATTACAGGTGTCCATAGCCCATGAAATATCCAAATTTATCTATGAGCCATGCAAATAAACAATAACCACCACCTTTTTGTTACTATTTTGCAGCGAGTCACTGTGGCCAATTGAAGCAAGAAATGCAGCTATTGCTAACCACTGCTTTACATGTGCCATAAACCGAGTTGGAACGGTAAGTATTTGAATACTTTGCTTTGTAGCCTTAGTTTCAGAATCTATACGTTTGAGCACATTTTAATCCTAGCTAATGAATTGTATAGTGCTAACTGGGTTACATGGTAGCACTAGGACACCTGGAAAACTCCTGTATTCCTCTGTATAGCATGAGACCTCCTCTCTCATGAATGTTTGCAATGTGCTTTGAAGATTGAAAGTGTTGCTATGATACCTAATAAGCAGGGAGAGTGTGAGCCACCTGTCCTGCTGCTGGCAGCCTGCATTCTGCTGCGGTTCCTTCCTATTCTTGACTTGTTCTTTCTCTGTGGTGAAGGATTTAACTAAGGACTTGTTTACCCTTACTGGGGGATCAACGAGTGGCGATGGATGCATCGGCGGTTGATTTAGCGGGTCTAGTGAAGATCCGCTAAATCAACTGTAGATTGCTCTCCCATCGACTCCTGTGCTCCACCGGATTGAGAAGAGTAAGGGGAGTCGATGGGAGACCGTCTCCCGTCGACATCGCATAGCGTGGACCCTGCGGTAAGTAGATCTAAGCTATGTCAATTTGAGTTACGCTATTCACATAACTCAAATTGCGTAGCTTAGATCGACTTTTCCCTTTAGTGTAGACAGGGCCTAAGATGAATGCTCCTCCCCTTCTCGCTAATTCTCCTAGCTCCTATGCAGAACCCGGTGTCTCCTTCACTAGGATTATTGAAAATGAAATGTGTCCTTGCACTTCTGTAACAGCTAGTTCCTGCTAGTCAGACACCTTCTCTCCTTAACAACTGAGATCATGGAACCAATTCTACTTTCATGTGCAGTAGGTGAGGCCTGTCTTCAGACCTAGTGACACAAGGTGAATGAGGTGTAATATATTGTATTGAACCAATTTCTGTTGGTGATGGTGACAAGCTTTCGAGCTATGCCGAGCTCTTCTTCAGATCTGGGAAAGGTACTCAGAGTGGTGCAGCTAAATACAAGGTGGAACAGATTGTTTAGCATAAGTAGTTAGCACATATTTTAAGGGACCATTTAAGGGAAGTTGTGGTGGAAACCTGTAGGGAAGTTTAGATCATTTGTCCAGAGGATGAAAATAATACCGATATCAACCTCTTTATGGGCCACCTTGAGGAATTTCTGGATAAATGCACCATGAAACCAATATACCTAAGATACATCGATATTATATTCATCCTCTGGACAGATGACCTAACTTCCTTCTGGATTTCCACCACTACTTCAACCACCACCACTCATCCATCAAACTCTCTCTAGAACACTCTCTCACAGCAGCAACAACTTCCTGGCCATGATTAGCTTCAACAGTGGAATCTTACAGACAACTGTATACAAGAAACCCCATGGATGACCGCACTTACCTTCACAGATCTAGTAACCACCCCAAGAAATCTGTTATCTACAGCCAGGCCCTCAGCTACCATAGAATATGCTTCAAGGAGAAAGTCTGGGATACACACCTTAACACATGTAAAACCACCTTTACCAAACAAGGATACTCCACCAGAGAAGTAGATCACATCATGGAATGAGCCACCCCAAAATCCCAAGAGACCCTACTTCACTACGGGGGGGGGAACCCTCCGACCACACTCCCCAAGTTGTCACCTACCACGCTATACTGAAACCGGTATGGGGTATCTTTAAACAGTTACAACCCATACTCGATGGGGAGCACCTCCTGAAGAAGTCTATCCAACCCTCCTCTTCTGGCCTTCAAACAACCCACTAATGTCTCCAGGCTCATTGTCAGAAGCAAGCTCCCTACAGACCAGTACCCACCAACTCAAAGCGGCACGAGACCCTGCCATAAAAACAGATGCGAAACCTGCCGACGTATCGCTACTGCTACAATGGTCAATATCTGCCACAACACACGTTTCAAGATGTATGGGTCCTACATATGCCTATCACAACATGTAATGTACCTCTTCCAGTGCACTAAATGCCCCAGTAACAACTATGTGGCTGAAGCCAGACAGTCATTATGCTCTTGAATGAACGCACAGAAAAATGATAAAAGACAAAAATACCAGATCATTCATGGGCAAATACTTTTCACAAAACGATCACTCCACTCCATATCTGACCTATCAGTCCTCATCCTCAGAGTAAACTAGCACAATTCCTTCAAAAGATGAGCCTAGGAATTTAAATTCATAATTTTGCTGGACACTAAAAATCATGGTTTTAATAAAGACAGTGGATTTATGGTTTATTACAATAATCTGCAATCCATTAACCCCCTTTTTTGTCCTATGACTGGAGGAGTGTTAATGGACCACTTCACCATGAATAGTTCCTTAAAACGTGTTAGTTACTAAACAATCTTGTATTTAGCTGTGACACTCTGAGTACCTTTCCCAGACCTGAAGAAACGCTCTGTGTAGCTCAAAAGCTTGTCTATTTCACCAACAGAAGTTGGTCCAATGAAAGATTATACCTCACCAAAGTTGTCTCTCTGATATCCTGGGACCAACATGACTACATCAACACTGCAACATTCAGAGCTAATGCACATGCAAATTCTTTGTTGGGCACCTTAGTGTGTATATTTTTGTAAGGTGCTCTCCATGAATCTGGCTTTGTGTCCACCTGCTAAGACCATATGTTCTTCCTTTCTATTATTTGCAAAGACTACCTCATTTAAATCTCTCTTCTCCCACCCCCATACCAGAGCTGTCCTCTCCTTGGATCTTTAACTTGTTGTGGTGGAGGGGCTTGTGTGTCCCAATGACCCTCAGAACTATGTCGTCCAGAGTCTTGTACTCCTGGTAGGATCACTTTTGGCAAACAGTTCTGAGATGAAGTTCCAGATGAAGCACAGTCCAGACCTCTCAAAACCCCAACGGTGGAACAGGTGTATTTGAGGACTTGTTAGTTCTCTGCGGCTGTGAAGGCGGATGAGGGCTGCAGCAGGACAGAGACCTCCAGTTGTCTCAGACTCCCCTGCCACTGGGTCCAGGGCTCCTTCCTGTCAAATTTCATGAGGTTGCTGCCTGCGCACCAGCTCCCCCACATTAAAAGATTTCATGCATAGGCCTCTGCCATGACCAGAGTTGTGACACTCTAGTATTACTACTCATATTCCCCAAAGTGCTGTGAATACAAGGCTGTCACCCAAGCAAATGCCTGTCTTCCAGGCTAATCCATCCTAAAATTCTAGCAAGACAGTCACTACCTTGAATCTAGAAACTAGGTGACACTGAAGATTCCCTTCTACAGGCAATGTTGACGGTAAGCCAGACAAGTCTTAACAGATGTATGCCAAGCATTAATTAATATGTTAGTATATTAAACATTGTATTGCAGCAAGATTCTCTTGCATGAAATGAGATTATAGTGCCATCTACAGCCTCATTTCAAACGGCCTTTGTTTCACAGGAATACTACGTGAATGCATTTACATCTGGAGATGGTGGGAAAGGTATGTTCAGCAAATACCTTCATGTGTTGCTAATAGTTGATTTTGAAGCATGAAGAGTTATCTTTCCGGCTATCTGCCTGTAGTTTCCATGACAATGGTAGTATCTAAGAGCAGCCTTACTTCCCAGAAATGCCACTGTCATAGAAACTACAGGCAACTAGTAGGAAAGATATCCAAAGTACAGTGGCATATGGTCATTGGAGGTGCTTATATAGGGCTGTTATATCCTTCCTAGGGACTCCAGTCTGTCTGATCCCTGGAAGCTTGCAAGGCAAAACCCCATAAATTTGCCCTATGTTGTCAGTGAGGTTTATGATGATGCGTTAACCTTCATGTTCCGACTTTAAATCCATGCTAGAAATTATCTTACCAAGTACTGTTGCTACATACACAAGTTAATGTGAAAAATGATTAGCTTCATATAGTCCATATCCAGACACACAGATGATCTATTGAGTCTCATGTGTTTTTGTGAATGGTTTACATAAAGTAATAGGTTCTGACATGCCGAGCCACATGATGCTGAAGATGGGGTGCAGAGCTAAGACATACAGGAGACTCTCTTACTGGACTTCTTGCATTGGCCATTTTACTGCTTTATAAAACGTTGCCTCTTTATAACAATTGTCTGAGTCTGATGTGGTTATAGCAGACTCCCAGAACCTTCCTTTAGGCTGTCGATTACTCCTGTTGTAATGCCTATTCTATAAATAGACAAATGTGCAATTCCCAACAGCTATGTCTTCACTGCAGAGTTAAGGCTATGTCTACACTACAGAATTAGGTCGGATTTATAGAAGCCGGTTTTATAGAAACCGGTTGTATGCAGCCGATTGTGTGTGTCCCCACCTAAAATGCTCTAAGTGCATGAAGTCGGCGGACCGCGTCCACAGTACCGAGGCTAGCGTCGACTTCCGGCGCATTGCACTATGGTACCTATGCCACAGTTCCCGGAGCCTCCGGCGCCCATTGGAATTATGGGTTGAGATCGCAATGCCCGGATGATGCAAAGCAGTGCCGCGAGGGGTTCTGGGTACATTGCGTCAGGCCCCTCCCCCGCCGTCACAGCAACGGCAGACAATAGATTCGCGCCTTTTTACCTGGGTTACCTGTGCAGACAACATACCACGCCAAGCATTGAGCCCGCTCAGCTCAGCTCACCGTCACCATATGTCTTCCGGGTGCCGCCAAACGTGGGACTGCATTGCTAAACAGCAGCAGCAGCTTACTGCCTTTTGGCGGTAGACGGTGCAGCATGACTGGTAGCCTTCATTGGCGATCTGGGTGCAGGCAGCCGTGGGGCTGGCAGCCGTGGTGCTGCATTGCACCAGCCCCTTGCCTTTTGGTAGAAGATGGTATATTACGACTGGTAACCGTCGTTATCGTACTGCAGTGGCTGTCGATCATGGGCACCCGGGCAGACAATGATGGTTATCAGTCGTAGTATGCTATTTTCTGCCAAGTGCCCAATATTGTCTGCTAAGCACCCAGAAGAGGCCGAGGGCTATCTGGGTGCTGGCAGACATGGGGCTGGCAGCCGTGGGGCTGCATTGCACCAGCCCCCTTGCCTTGATGATGATGGTTATCAGACGTATTATGCGCAGGATGGGGCAACATTGCTACACAGCAGCAACCCCTTGCCTTTTGGGCAGTAGATAGTATATTACGACTGGTATCCATCGTTGTGATACTGGGTATCAGATCGTGCAATAGACCTGAAGGCTAACTGCCAAGCGCCCAGTATTTGCTGCCAAGCACCCAGAAAATGCCAAGGGCTATCAGTCATGCTGCACCGTCGTCTTAAGATGTAAAAAATAGATTTATTCTGTATTCATTTGCTTCCCCCCCTTCCTCCTGCTAAACCCAGGCTTTTGAGTTCAATCTTTGGGGGGGGGGGGCATTCTGTGTGACAGTTGTTTGTGTTTCTCCCTGATGCAAAGCCACCTTTCTTGATTTTAATTCCCTGTACCTGTATGCCATGTCGTCACTCGCCCCTCCCTCCCTCCCTCCCTTCTTCCCCTGGTCCGTCAGATACTACTTTCGCGCCTTTTTTCAGACCAGACGCCATAGCCAGCACTGGGATCATGGAGCCCGCTCAGATCACCGCAGCAATTATGAGCACTATGAACACCACGCGCATTGTCCTGGAAAACATGCAGAGCCTCCTGGACATGCCAAAGCCAAACCAGGACCAGCTGAGGAGGAGGCGATTGCAGCGCGGCGACGATAGTGATGAGGAAATTGACATGGACCTCTCACAAGGCACAGGCCCCAGCAATGTGGAAATCCTGGTGTTACTGGGGCAGGTTCATGCCGTGGACCGCCGATTCTGGGCCCGGGAAACAAGCACAGAGTGGTGGGACCGCATCGTGTTGCAGGTCTGGGACGATGCCCAGTGGCTGCGAAACTTTCGCATGCGAAAGGGCACTTTCATGGAACTTTGTGACTTGCTTTCCCCTGCCTTGAAGCGCCAGAATACCAGGATGAGAGCAGCCCTCACAGTGGAGAAGCGAGTGGCGATAGCCCTGTGGAAGCTTGCAACGCCAGACAGCTACCGGTCAGTCGGGAATCAATTTGGAGTGGGCAAATCTACTGTGGGGGCTGCTGTGATCCAAGTTGCCAGGGCAATGAGAGACCTGGTGATATCAAGGGTAGTGACTCTGGGAAACGTGCAGACCATAGTGGATGGCTTTGCTGCAATGGGATTCCCAAACTGTGGTGGGGCGATAGACGGAACCCATATCCCTATCTTGGCACCGGCGCACCAAGCCACCGACTACATAAACCGCAAGGGGTACTTTTCAATGCTGCTGCAAGCCCTGGTGGATCACAAGGGACGTTTCACCGACATCAACGTGGGCTGGCCGGGAAGAGTACATAATGCTCGCGTCTTCAGGCAGTCTCTTCTGTTTCGAAAGCTGGAGGAAGGGACTTTCTTCCCAGACCAGAAAATAACCGTTGGGGATGTTGAAATGCCTATCGTGATCCTTGGGGACCCAGCCTACCCCTTAATGCCATGGCTCATGAAGCCATACACAGGCAGCCTGGACAGCAGTCAGGACCTGTTCAACTACAGGCTGAGCAAGTGCCGAATGGTGGTGGAATGTGCATTTGGCCGTTTAAAAGCGCGCTGGCGCAGCTTACTGACTCGCTCAGACCTTAACGAAAAGAATCTCCCCATTGTTATTGCTACTTGCTGTGCGCTCCACAATATATGTGAAAGTAAGGGGGAGACATTTATGGCGGGGTGGGAGGTTGAGGCAAATCGCCTGGCCGCTGATTACGCGCAGCCAGACACCAGGGCGGTTAGAGGAGCACAGCAGGGCGCGGTGCGCATCAGAGAAGCGTTGAAAACCAGTTTTGTGACTGGCCAGGCTACGGAGTGAAACTTCTGTTTGTTGCTCCTTGATGAACCCTCTGCCCCTCCCCCACCACCCTGTTAACTCTACTTCCCTGCAAACCAACCACCCCACCCTCCCCTACTAACCTCCCCCCTTCGAGCACCACTTGCAGAGGCAATAAAGTCATTGTTACTTCACATTCATGCATTCTTTATTAATTCAGCACACAACTAGGGGGATAATTGGAAAGGTAGCCCGGGATGGGTGGGGGAGGAGGGAAGGAAAAGGACACACTCCAATTTAAAACTTTAAAACTTATTGCTATGGAAATCATCTTGGGTGGAGTGAGTGGGTGGCCAAAGGCCCCCCCACCGTGTTCTTGGGTGTCTGGGTGAGGAGGCAATGGGACTTGGGGAGGATGGCTGCTGGTTACAGAGGGGCTGTAGCGGCGGTCTCTGCTCCTGCTGCCTTTCCTGCAGCTCAACCATACGCAGGAGCATATCACTTTGATGCTCCAGCAGCCGGAGCATCGACTCTTGCTTTCTGATTACAAGTTGACGCCACCTCTCCTCTTCAGCCCGCGTTTCAGCACGCAACTTCTCATCTTCAGCACGCCACCTCTCCTCTCGCTCATATTGGGCTTTTTTAAAATCAGTCATTGACTGCCTCCACGCATTCAGCTGTGCTCTGTCAGCGTGGGAGGCAGTCTGAAGTTCAGTAAACATTTCGTCACGCGTCCTTCGCTTCCTTCTTCGAATATTCACTAGCCTCTGCGAAGGAGTAAGATTTGCAGCTGGTGGAGAAGGGAGAGGTTGTTAAAAAAGATACATTTTAGAGAACAATGGGTAGACTCTTTCACGTTAGATTTTGCTGTTCACAACATCACACAGCACATGTGCTTTCGTTACAAGGTCGCATTTTTCCTCTTATATTGAGAGTCTCCTGGTTTGCTGTGAGAGATCACTCACGCAGTGCCAGGACACAGATTTCAGCTTGCAGGCAGCCATGGTAAGACATATAGTCTTTGGGCTTTTTTAACCTTCTTAACATGTGGGGATGGTTTCAAACAGTTCTGCCCTCATTTCCCATACCAAGCACCCGTGCCATTTAAAATGGGTTTGCAATGTAAAAGGAGGGGCTGCGATTTCAGGTTTAACATGCAGCACAAACCCAACTAACTCCCCTCCCCCTCACACCCAATTCTCTGGGATGGTCACTTCACCCCTCCCCCCCACCGCGTGGTTAACAGCGGGGAATATTTCTGTTCAGCAGACCAGGAAGGGGCACCTCTGAATGTCCCCTTAATAAAATTGCCCCATTTTAACCAGGTGACCGTGAATGATATCACTCTCCTGAGGATAACAAAGAGCGATAAGGAATGGATGTTGTCTGCATGCCAGCAAACACCGGGACCATACGCTGCCATGCTTTGTTATGCAATGATTCCAGACTACGTGCTACTGGCCTGGCGTGGTAAAGTGTCCTACCATGGCGGACGGGATAAGGCAGCCCTCCCCAGAAACCTTTTGCAAAGGCTTTGGGAGTACATGAAGGAGAGCTTTCTGGAGATGTCCCTGGAGGATTTCCGCTCCATCCCCATACACGTTAACAGACTTTTCCAGTAGCTGTACTGGCCGCGATTGCCAGGGCAAATTAATCATTAATCATTAAACACGCTTGTTTTTAAACCATGTGTAATTTTTGCAAAGGTACACTCACCAGAGGTCCCCTGTGTGCCCTCAGGGTCTTGGGTCAGTTCGGGGGTTACTGTTTCCAGGTCCAGGGTGACAAACATATCCTGGCTGTTGGGGTAACTGGTTTCTCCGCTTCCTTGCTGCTGTGAGCTATCTATGTTCTCTCCATCCTCATCTTCCTCGTCCGCCGAACCCGCTTCCCCGTTTGCAGAGAGGGACTCATAGAACACGCTTGGGCTAGTGGTGGCTGCACCCCCTAGAATGGCATGCAGCTCCACGTAGTAGCGGCATGTTTGCGGCTCTGCCCCGGACCTTCCGTTTGCGTCTCTGACTTTGTGGTAGGCTTGCCTTAGCTCCTTAATTTTCACGCGGCACTGCCGCGCGTCCCTGTTATGGCCTCTGTCCTTCATGGCCTTGGAGATCTTTTTCTAATGTTTTGCCGTTTCTTTTACTGTTTCGGAGTTCGGCGAGCACTGCTTCATCTCCCCAGATGGCGATCAGATCCTGTACCTCCCGTTCGGTCCAGGCTGGAGCTCTTCTGCGATCCTGGGACTGGGACTGGGACTCCATCATGGTTACCTGTGCTGATGGGCTCTGCATGGTCACCTGTGCTCTCCACGCTGAGCAAACAGGAAATGAAATTCAAACGTTCGCGGGGCTTTTCCTGTCTACCTGGCCAGTGCATCTGAGATGAGAGTGCTGTCCAGAGCGGTCACAATGAAGCACTGTGGGATAGCTCCCGGAGGCCAGTAATGTCGAATTCCGTCCACACTAACCCAATTCCGACCCCCTAAGGTCGATTTTATCGCTAATCCCCTTGTCGAGGTGGTGTTAGGAAACCAGTTTAAAGGGCCCTTTAAGTCGACAGAAAGGGCTTCGTAGTGTAAACGTGTCCAGGCTTAAGTCGATTTAACGCGGCTAAAGTCGACCTAAACTCGTAGTGTAGACCAGGCCTAAGATGAGTGATCAGCACCTGGATTAATCTAGCCCCAGCAGGGGGAGTGCAATACCTGTGTGACTGTGTCCTCACTGATACTGCATTCACTATGTTGCTATGACTTTTGAGGGTATATCCCATCGTTCTTTGTGCTGCAGTAAGCTGAGACACCCTATGATTCTTTCCCAGTGAGTCGTGGTAGAACTTGTCTGTCTTGGGCACATGGGAGAAATTGTGGGAAGCCATTGGAGGTGTCAGTGCATGAGTGATTTAGCCTGCATCTTTACTGCAAAGTGGACGAGTTGCCAGCCCAAGTGGAAGCAGCACAGGAGCTCTCCCCTATACAGCCAGCCAGCCTGAGTGTAAAGCACCACCAGACCCAGGAGAGAGGCTTTTGTGTGAATGGAAGTGGGGTGAGGGGCAACACCTGACTAAGAGCCCAAATGAACTGCAGTGAAGACATATCTTAGAGGGGTTTCACAGGAGCAAACCAAAATATACTTGGCCTGTTTTATTCTGTTCTTTAATTTATATCATTATAAATGGTGAGAACATGACAGGCAAAAGCAAACACTAATTATAATTCAGAAATAAGAGAAGAAAGAAAAGAATAACCTAATGCATTGTTGTGTTCACTACAGGCTTGAACAAACGGATAAGTTATAAAAATCAAATAAACTTGTACTCTGTCAGATTCCCTGATTATCTATTCAGAAATCCAAAAGAAGTCTGAGATTCTGAACTGCTTTCTCTTGGGGTAGATGTAACCCACCAATATTCACTTGTAACCTCAGCATTTGTCCTATGGGAACCACCATCTTCTCTGTTTATTTTCTGGCCTCAGTCTGAGTCTCAGCCAACTCATTTGCTACAGATCCTTGTATTGGCCTGACATTGGAGCTCAGTATTAGCAGCTGCTGCATGAAGGTGGCTAGTGGTTGCTATCACTCACTTTGATTGCCCCCACTGAGCAGTGCAGAACTTTCGAGGTGTCTGATGCTCTTGATCTTGTGGCCAATCATTTGATCCTGTTGAAGATATTTGCATTTTTAATAAGATTTTTCTTCCTCCTATCTCAATGTTTTATACTTTGGTCCTGTACTGAAGAGCTAATGCTGTGAACTCTGTCAGTTGCTTTGAAACACATTGCGATGTCACAGTTAGCATTTACTTGATTGTAGGCTAGATGGGAGAGGGAAACAAAGCCCTTATTTAAATGCAAATAGTTTTAATAATTAGCAAGCACAGTAGTCCATTATGAAAAGCCTATGAAAGTTGTGTGGATTCCTGTTTGTCTATGTGAAAGCTCTCCTCTGTGGGAAAGGTAACTAATGGTTAGAGCTACAGTTTTCCTGTGGCTTCACGAGTTAAATGAGGGCACAGCTGGGTGAAAAAATAGAGGAAGTTATCCTGAGTTTCTCAGGGGAAACAACATGTGAGGTTGCATACTTATTTGCCCATGGCATTCTATGTTGATTATTATTATTATTATTTATTTTATTTATTAAGCCCACCATGACTTGGGATATTTTTATGGCTCGAGTTATGTGGCTGCGCCAGATGGCAGTCGGACACCTGGACTGTCTCGCACACAGGATGGGCTTTTGGTGGCTGAGGTGGATCTAAATCTTTGCAGGCAAGTCGGTGACAAATGGAGTTTTAAGGTAAGTCCTTATTCTCTAAAGCAGGGGTAGGCAACCTATGACACGTGTGCCAAAGGCGGCACGTGAGCTGATTTTCAGTGGCACACTCACTGCCCAGGTCCTGGCCACCGGTCCGGGGAGCTCTGCATTTTAATTTAATTTTAAATGAAGCTTCTTAAACATTTTTAAAACCTTTATTTACTTTACATACAACAATAGTTTAGTTATATATTATAGACTTATAGAAAGAGACCTTCTAAAAACATTAATATGTATTACTGGCACGCAAAACTTTAAATTGGAGTGAATAAATGAAGACTCGGCACACCACTTCTGAAAGGTTGCCGACCCCTGGTCTAAACTCAGACATGGTAACAAAGAATTTTAGGTCTTTATCTGTACAAAAATACATCCAGCTTCCTTGCGTTTTGCTCTTGCATACGCCTGTGCCATATGGTCTTATATATTCTGTGACACACTGGACCTAGCGTCTGTGGAAAGGACTCTTGGTGGCTGTGGTATACTGGTACTGAATTTTACATCCTCAGTAAAATGAGGGGTCATTTCAGCAGAACGTAGATCTTGGTCATCAGAGAATACACAAGGGCCCCTCAACTGTAACAGCACATTTTAGATGCATTCAAATGTGGACATTTTTATTGCTGTATGAAAATGAGTAGTACAGTATCCCTTGTGCTGTTTTTATATTTGGTTGTTTATTTTATCTGCCCCCATGTCTTCTGTTTCCAGTGTGCTGCAGTTTTGTATTGACAGTGCAAACCGGCATTGCTGGAAGTTTTGGAAGCTGAGTAGAGGACAACGGGGGCTTTTGACAACCAGAAAGGAGTAGGAAGCAGTTTACATTTTTGTCATTTGATGGAAATACAATATCCCCTTTCTACGGCTTGACATTTGGGGGTGATGGGCATGACCTTCTTGCTCCCCACCCAGACAACCCTTGACAGCAACCACATATCCCCATAACTTGCTCCAGGATCTGCCACTGCATCCAGAAGCAGTGGATAAGGACGTTAACTGTATGTTTCTTCTAAAATTATCAGCAGTGAAATAATTAACCATCGTCCTCATTACATTTCAGAATTCACTCTATTGCTGTGAGAGGAGCAAGTTCACTCCCCTCAAAGCTAATGTTTCAGGCTGCTTGCACACTCAGGAAGACAGCAGTATCAAGTCACATTTAGAAAGCTTTCTTCACAAGTATAATGGCTATAAACTTAGTGTGAAAAGTGACTGTAAAAAGAGCAGCATGGAATTCATATTTTATATGGATATTTTTTACACACACACTCACTCACTCTTCTTTCTAACTATCATCCCTGAAAATTCTGCCTGGCATCTGAAAGTCAAGATGGGTTCTTCCCTTACTGTGCATCATCACCAGATGATCATGCTACCACAATGGGAGCTGTATAAGTTCCTACATAGATACAGGTTCTGCAGACCAAATGCTACAGTGACACCTGTGCAAACCCATTGAAAGCAGTGGGGTTTTCAGGTGTGACTGGGAGCATCATGTGAAGACTTCTCACTTGTGTAGTTCCACTACCTTCATTGGATGTACATTGGTGTAACTGGAATTCAGTACATAATTCTATCAGTGCACAGCAAAGAGACTCCAGCTCTCACACTCACCTGTGTTAGCCCTGCAGAGGTAACACAGGTTAAAAAAAAGCTGTAAGAATTTATTTTTGTCACTTGTCAGCAAATGTGACTCTGAACACAAACACACACACATACACACACGGAGTACATGTGCTGAGCAAGACGGTGCCAATTTTACATAGTCACTTTGCAGCATAGAACTCCATTTGTAATGTGTTTTTAAATGAGAGCTTAGCTTTTGCAAGAGACTGCTTGTGCCAGGGCATTGGTAATTTTTGAAGATTGATGGAATTAAGACCTTCCATTTCTTGGTAGTTAATGTTTCTTTTTTTAAAAGTGATGTAAATCAATATTTTCTATTGAAATTCCTTCCACTGATCATCTGTAATCTGCCCTGGCAGTGGGGAGGAGAAGGAGCAGCTAATGGGAAGTTACTGAAATAGGCTACAGCTCTGCTTTTCTTTTCCAGATGACTGGTAGATACGAGATGTATGCAGAGGAACTCATGAAGGCTGTCCAACTTAACTTTGCACCCAATATTATTAAAGAGTAGCTGTGACGGTGTCCTCTGGTAGGAGAGCTCTTACACCAAGGTGATAGCATTTCCTTTACAAAACAAAAGTGATCTATGTATGTTAGTATGCAAAAGTCTCCATCTTCTATTATCTTACAGTTGGTACTGCAACTGAAACTTGGCAAGTGCAGGTGCAGTCACTGCCAGTCAAAACTTACTATACATTTTTATAAAGTACTTACTGCAAAGCGATGAGCAAATGATAGAGGGCTGGGTGAGGAACTCACCTGGTCAGATTTAGCTTAAATTCTGAAATGTGCATTATACTGTATGAGTGTTGGTGAAAAGGTGATATAGCATATACAAAACCAATCTGGCCCTGAGGAAATGCTAGTGCACTTTCCCTACATGCTTTGTTTCAGTGGGATAAAAATGTCAACACTTAAAGGCTTTGTCTGAGACCTTCTGACACATGTCTCCTTTTCTTTGGATGCCGAATCAGTCCTATCGTTCAGAAGAGTATCAGGAATACAAGCATTGACTCTTGGTACTTCCCAAAAGGAAGCGCTAGATAAGGAACTAACTGTATTTCCCCTCACTTCACATGATAACTTTACATTGTTACAAGTAGCTGAACGCCCGTGCTGTCACACAGGTGTAATTTGTTAAGTCATGTTTATGAAAAAGCCCAAAATTGCTCTAAACAAAAACTACCATCAGCTATTCTTGTAGCTGTTTCCATTGCTTCATATTGCTGCAGACGGGGGGAGGGATAGCTCAGTGGTTTGAGCATTGGCCTGCTAAACCCAGGGTTGTGAGCTCAATCCTCGAGGGGGCCATTTAGGGAACTGGGGTAAAAATCTGTCTGGGGATTGGTCCTGCTTTGAGTAGGGGGTTGGACTAGATGACCTCCTGAGGTCCCTTCCAACCCTGATATTCTATGATTCTAAGCTTCAGAGTGGTGTTTGGGGTTAGTGGTGTGTGCTGGTTGTGTCTATTTGTGTGGGTTATATTGTGCTAGGAGATTTATGTTGATTTTTGTGGCTGTGGCAATTGGGCCAGGTAATCCAGCATCTGTGCAGTTTCCGTAGTACAACCAAGGAAATTATTGCATGCAAATTAGTTGTAGAGTAAGGTTGGTTGCGTTACCTCTGATATCACAATGGTCTAGAACTCTTGGCATAGCATAGAGATGCATGCCTTACTATAGCTGTACACCACCCAGGTGTAATACGTAAGGTCAAAATGGCTGAGAACTTAAAAATTGGATGGTAGTAGGCCATGAAACCCAGTGATGATGGAACCTGGTAATATTCTAAACAAACAGAGCTTTCAAGCCATGCTTGGACCTGTTTCCATTGTTTCACACTGACTCAACAGACATTTTAGGCTTCAGAGTGCCATTCCTAGAATCTTACTATATGGATGCTGCCACACTACGTATTTCAGCTTGTGGACATTGTACCTCTTAGGTTATTTATCTTACCGGGGAGGTAATGACCTTAGCATTGCTGTTCCACCATCTGACTCCTTAGAGCCAGGGTACCCAACATATGGCCCATAATCCTACACAGCCCACCAGAGCATTCATAAGGCTGCAGCGGGGCTCGGACTATCAGCCCCGGGTGGCGGGACTCCTGCTGTCGGAATGAAATCTTATTAAGATATGTAGAATCTGTTTGGCCCACACAAGAGTGTGCTTAGGTTTATGTGGTCTTCTAGTATAATAAGGTTGGGCACCATTGCCTCAAGAGAATTGGTGTATCTAAATTGGTGGTTTTAAAAAAATGAACTGCATGTCCCATGTACTAGTTTTACAGGGGAAAATACGGAAGGAAAAGGTCTGGCCAAAAACAGAGTGGTTGAAGTTAGGATCTTATGTCGGTGCCCAAATAAGGATTTAGGAGCCTAATTTTTGGCAACCATTTTTAAAAGTCTTGGCCTCTGTCTTGTGAAAAAAGATTTAAAATGAAATGTGTATGGTTTGGCTTGACTTAGTGAAGATAAAAGGGGCCTGGGAGCTATTGAAAAACCTTTGAAGGATAAGTAATTATTTAAAGTGAGCCAAGGGTCTAAAAGTATAAAGGATGGAATAAAAATAAGAAAAAGATTTGTTTGTAGAATTCCCAATAAAAAAATTTAGTGGTAGAATTTCCTTAAGAGAATTGGTGGAAGTTCCCTTGTTTGGGACACTTATGACAAGTGATCAGTAAACAGTGTGAGAAAGTAATCCTACAACGGCAAGGGGTAGCACTGGGTACTTTGTCGACCTTTTCCAGTGCTAAAACCAAACTTGTCTGTAATGCCAGAGTAACTCCATTGAAATCAAAGGCATTATTCTCTTTAATACTAATAAATTTTAGTTCAGAATCTAGCTCTTAATATCCAATTTGTATCTTAACCATCTTAATGCTCTACAATTTAAAAAAACTCAGTCAAGCAGGATTAAATGCTACACATTCTATTAGGGCTTTAATCTAAACTCCATGAAGCTATTATGAATGTTGCTTTCTAGAGCATTGATTAATTTGGCCGTGAAGGACAGACAGCTTTGTAGCGAGACATCTTTTTAAATTACAGCCAAGCCAAAAAGAACTCTAACACATTCCATTACAAAGTACTGAACACTATTACTATTGCAGACTTTCATAGCACTTCAGGATTTTGTTGTCTTACGTTCCTGTAGCCAGTTTTTAAATACAGGAAACTAAAGCTTGTAAGCAGGGCCCCAAATTACATGAACAAAAAAAAGTAAGAAGGCTGCCTAGGAAGTTTTTTCTGTAGTATAGGTGAGTAGCTTCCAACCTTCAGTCCGGTGACTGTTCCACCGGAAATACAACCATTGCATAATCCATGGGTATAACAAATGATAGTGGAATTCATTCAGTATCACATGCAGGAACAGACCATGTGATGTGAGTGGGGAAAAGGGGGGGATCAGTAGCGAGAAAGAAATGTAATATTTTTAAGCTTTGTTTGTAACATGCATTGGATCTGTCTGCTCGCTTTTACTTTCCTGTCTCTTCCCGTGTCACACCCACAGTAAGCACTTAATCCAAGCAGCACAAGAAAGCAGGGAACCCCTGCTCTGTGGCAAAACAAACTGCCTGAAATGCTTGTAAGCAGCAGGCCTGGTTCTCTCTCTGCAGGGGGGTATTTCTGCCTATCTTCTGTTCTCTCTCTATATACCACTACCTCCAGGTTGAGATTTGGCCATATTTATTTTTTTTATACAAATTAACTGTAGAGTCTGGGATTTCATTGCTTTCTTTCTATTGTTTTGTATTATAAAGCATTTAATACAGCCCACCTAGAACCAGATAGTGGCCCCCAAACAGGACGTGACCTATTAGTTGGGAATCATTGGTGCAGATAAGGCTTCTGTGTATTGATCCCATTAAAAGTATGTAAACACTAACAAAGGAAACTATTGCAAGGATGATACGGTTTATCACATAGTTTGACCTTGCAGCAGTTTAGCACATATACCAACCCCATACCGTACCACCATAGTTGAGCAAATGCCTTTGGGTACTCCTGTAGTATCCAGTAATGGTGCTAGAGGCACAGAGGCTTTTAAGGAACCTCCAAAAGCCCAGCATGGCATTGTGAGATGGAATCAGAAGGAGCAGCTGAATTGGTGCAGCAGTTGCAATTCTTGTGGCTTCTTTCAAACAATGCAGAGAAATTGGTGTAGATTGCACCAGTGCAGAGCTGAAGATCTCAACCAAAGAGTTGCACTCAGCTAGGATACCCACTGGTTGTGTGGATAGCAATGGTACATGGAATGCTTTGAGCTTGGAATGTAACCAGTTTTGCTTCCCTTTTTGTTTGCCCAGTGTAGTCTGATGATGTGATGTGTCTGGGAAAAGTGAAAGGAATACGAACCTAAATCCTAATGACAGCATACCCACAGCTGAAGTAAATTGTCTCTTAAGAGTTTCAAAATGGCAGTTTCAGCTAATTGTATCATTTCTAGTTTAATACATACTTCTTTTAAAGATCTTCACACATTTTTGCATAATAAACTGGTTGACAAATACAGCTGCTACACTGTGCTATGGGGTTCATTTAAAACCTTTATTGAGAATGGCTCAATTACAGACAAAATATATTTATGTATAAAATTTCTCTGCATGTAAAATATCCCTTTCTTTGCTGTGGACGATATGAATAAAACAAGATATTACACAGAAACACTTTCAGGGTGAGCTTTTTGATAAGCAAATTTCTAACAGAAAAAAGATAAGACATTCTTTATTTTTGCCCAATTAACTGCTTTCTTACCCTAAAGTTTGACTCGTGCCTACTCAATATCAGCTCTACTCAAATATGGCCTTCACCTCTTCTCTCTAGGCTCATCTTCCAGGGCAGTCTTCACTTGTTTTCCCTGCCTGTAGGAGATCCTGTGGCAGTGAGGGGCTCCTGTTTTCTTCTTTGTCATTTAATCAGCTGTAATTTAATCTTTAAATTCAATTTAACTATTTAAAACCCAGCCACCCAAATACTTATTAACCCAACAGCAGTAAAAATGATTACACCCATATATCTGCTTCCATCATTTACATTAGGTATTCTTACAATGAGACAAGATTCCATTTTGCCTTTGAGTTGAATACATGCAGTCTAATGTCTGCTCCCAAGTTGGTTCAAGACCAGGATCTGAGCACCAGAACCAAAGCTGTATGGCAACATATTATTACTCTTAACCCCACTGTAAGAACGATTTTCATTGGGCTAAACACACCCCTTTCAGAAAATAAATTCCATGGTGCTTAAATTATATTGGAGGAGTTATGTGATGGGAAAAAAAGCACAGATTAACAAAAGCTACTGAATAGTTAGTTTACAGATGTATTGTTAGTAACATACCTAAAAATCCTTCACAGTGAAGCATTACACACAAATGGACTTGGACGTACAATTCTCTAAGTCAGTGGCCAGCTGGTAGCTTAGCCAGTTTTGTAGGCATTATAAGGCAAAACCTGTTACTGGTTTTGGCCACAGGGCCTCTGCAGTGATTGTAATGGAACTGCTGATGCTTCTGTTCTGTCTGCCAATAACTTGTATCCTAATTCCCAGCCATCTTCACATGCAGCAGGTGCCCAAGTGCATTCCAGCCACACCTGCTGTAAATGAGTTCTGATTGAAAACACATTTCCATCAAACTCGTTTTTCAGATTTTGCAAAGGAACTGCATTTCTACTCACCTGCCACTGTATTTCAGGCACTGAAGAAAGGAGCACTCTAGATTGTATTGAACATACCCCATCAAGTACTTTTTGGGTACTCTCCAGTGTTTGCAAGCCACCTAGATTAGAAAATGTTTTTCCTTACAACTTTTATCCTTTAGGGTATTGCTAAACACTGACTCCCTGTACTGTTTTCACCAGAAAGGGTGCCTTTTATTTACTATCCGCACCATCAGGGATTACAGCTTTAGGCAATGGGTTTAAGATGTGTCATCTCCAGCTGGTTGTCTAGGTACAAAACATATCATGTTACAGTGCTTACATAGATAGCAACATTTTTTCTTTTGTTTTTAAAATCATTTTGGAATTTGGAGGTGAGTTCAAACCAGTTATAATTTTAGAGTAGACCAGATTTTGGGCCCAAAGTATTTGCCAGTGTGACTTTAAGTCAATTGTACATTATCTGAATCCTCAGCTGAAAAGGCTAAGTATAAAACCAAGCACATTTCTATTGTAGTTAAAGTCATAAAGCTAAATTTCAAGACGCGATGAGACTGGGAGTCAAAATTCGTAGTAAGTGTAAGGTCAAAGCTGAATTATGTCCTACACTTCAGTGCTTCTCTGCCAGGCAGGTGATCCCAGATAATATGTTAAAGGGGCTGCACACAGCCTGCTGCAATCTTACAGTTTAGCTTAAAGCATCAGAATGCAGTGAGGACCCTGCTGCTTATTCCAGAACACAGCTGTAGAGTGAGAAGAGGTAGAAAGTCTGGGCTCCTGCTATAACATCTTTGGACTTCAGCCAAGAGAAGTTTGTTCTCCCTGCCTTCTCAATTAGAAGCAGAGTTCTGAGCCAGGCTACTGGCAGTATCTGTTCCTGGGAAATTCCTCAATAAATCTCAACAACAAATGTTTAACCTCAAATTACAATACAGGCTTCGCGCAAAATCTGTTCTCTCCTGCCAGACATTTAAAACAACCCTCTGCACACAAGGCATAAACCCTCAGTGCTTGGGTGACTACTTAGTGTATTTGCTTAATCAACAGTTTAAAAACTGTACCTAGACTTGATCCCTGGATACTGCAGAACGTTGTGGGTGTGGGTATGGGCGTGGTGTAGTGGGTAGAAAGATGTTTCCAAGCCTTTGCACACAGACTTAAAATTTCTTAGGCCCAAATAAAATGTCACCAGTCAGCCTTTTGGGACAACACAGAACTTTGGCCAAGCCATTCCTAGAGACGTTTTAACTCATGCAAGATAACTCGGTAGGCAAAATGACACTAGGTGCTTACTACTTGGAAGGAGTAGCCTATAGCCCTTAGCAGGAAGACTGGTCCTCCGCTGACAATAAGATCAAACTGCAAACTCAATTCCCAGGTACATGTGGTGAGAGCAGTCAAGCTGGGTTTACACAAGAAGCTTGCTTTGTAAGTGGTATTTCATTCCCATTATGCAGGCAATGCTGATAGAATCTGCCACAGTATGTCAACAGCTGACAAGTCATTTTCTTCCTTGAAAAAAAATAATCATGGGTCAGGTTAATCATTTATCCTATCTACACCCTTCTGACCATTAAATAACTAAATCTAGAGTGAAGATCAGCTCTGGCAGTTTTGAAGGCAAACCAACGTGTATTTCCTCTTTCTTTTCTTGCTTCATGTAGCTGAACCTGTGCACAAATTCCCACGTGTAGACTAAATTCGTGTACTTGGTGTGTTTTATTTCAAGTCTTTAATTCAGAAACAAGCTCACAGCCAACTGTAAGTGTCGGACTCTGAGGGGATTGCATTTTGAAACTGCTCTCAAATGTGCAACATTAAAATTAAAGTGTGTGTGTGTGTGTGTGTTAGATATTGCAACATCAGATATTTCATCATCAGGAATAAAAAGATGAAGACAACACTGCAATATAAATGTCTGAATGTCTATAAAGCATCCCTTGTTTAAGATCCCACTGCAAATCAGGAGTTAAGTCTCTGCAGTAAGAGTCCTGAGACAAGCAGCCAGCTGCCATGCAGGTGCTGGGCAGACTGCGCCAGAAATGACAAAGCAGCAATCTTGGATGTCAGCTGTCCGTGTAGATAAACAGGATATCCTCATCTGTGCCGTAACTTGTCCTGGCTTCCTCAAAGTTACTGATGCTGGTGCTGCATGTTCCTGTGGGACAGGAGCAGAGTGTTAGTCAAGCTGAGCCAGGGGAAGAATTTGCTCATGAACAGCTCTTAGCCTGCCTTTGGGTAAACAGAACTAGATCTCATGGGCTTGATCTTGCAGCCCTTACTCGCTTGAGAGGTCCCATTGATGTCAAGGGGAATGCTTATTTGCATAACCCCTGCAGAAGTGGGCACTGTATAATTACACACCATTTTGTTCTTTCTTCAAGATACTGAACGTGTATAGTTTAGCTCTCCTAAACTGTGTCCCTCTTAATAATCATAAGGCTTCTGCAATCCTGTCAGAATATATTTCCAATGCTTCATCTGAATCGCAGCCCAGAAAAGAATGAAATCATTGAATTCTGTAAGAACAATCATGGGCCAATCAGCTGGTGCCGCCTGACTCAGATGCCTGGTATCAGGGAAACTCCAGCTGGTTTTGCATTATGCACGTTAGTAATGAGGAGATGGAGAATCCACACAGAATGAAGCAAAGTTCAGCTACTCACGGTCAGCATAGGCAGGGTTGTTGTAGTAGACACTCCCTGAGGCTTTGTTGTAGCCACACAACACAATGAAATGACCCTGGTAGTCAGGATTCCTGCAGAAGCACTTCTGGCCAATAGGGAGGAAACAGCAATATTTGACGGGACTTGAGCAAAGTTCACACAGCAACAAGACTGCATTCACCAGGACAATGGCTACATGACCTTGGGACAGGTGCTCCTGAATGTCCTGGACAGTCACTGTGCTGCAGAAGAAAATTCAGACATTCACAAAGAAGCCCAGGAGAGAGATCTGTATTCACTGGATTGGGCTCTCCCAACCATGTGAGTGTGGATGATGTCCATCTCTGTTATGTGATTGCTATGATTATTTTACATATCTTTGTTGTTGAGGGCTCTACTGCAGCCGCAGACAGTAGTTGTTCCATTCAAGTCTATTATACCCTCACTGCCAGTGAAGAGCAGAGCCATTCTGGCTGAAGTTCTATAGAGCATGCATTAAAATGAATGGAATCTCAAGATGTCCCAGATGCCCTGGAGGAGCAGTATTTTTGTCAGAAGTATTTGACAACCATTCAACACTAGGGAGATTAGTTTATTTATGGGGCAGTTAGGGATGCTGTAGAATCCCATCCCACCCACCTGGAAGCCCAAATGCAGCTGGTCTCTAAAGCACCAAGTCTTTCTCAGCTGAGGGATTGGATGGCACAAGATCCCCAGTCATCTTGGTCTCTGCATCCTAAGATACCTTTGTCAGGTAAGAATAGTTTCCCAATTATAAAGTTGCATTGTCTGGCTCTCTATTCTTGCCAGGATTGTTGTTCTAATATTTTATTGTACCCAATTTCGAGCATGAAAATCACCCATGCCCACCTGGTAATCCCATTTATTTGAGCTGAAGTTCTTCATTCAGAGACACAGACAGATGGTGTGTTCCATACCAGTCTGCACTCATCCCCTGGATCAGATCCAAACATTCAGGCTGTGTGCAATGCCTCACTGAACTGATGTCCTTTTTAATCTCTTCCAGCACTGCTCTTCCCCTTTGCCTTCTCAATCCTAGTACTGCACAGGCGCATATACAACTGCCTCCCCCTCCCTAATGTGAGCCAAATCTAGAGCTTTGTTACTGTGCTAGATATGGCCTAGATTTTTGCCGCCTCCTCCTCCTCCTCCTCTTCCCAGGTCACAGCACTAGGTGGATAGATGCTGCCATGCAAACTCTAAGTACATTAACAGGACACTAAAGATTCTGGCAAATGCAGGTTTAAAAAAGCATGTAAAAGCACAATAAGGCCATTGTTTCCAGGCACAAATAGTACCTTCCCTTTCTTCTCTTGCTACTACTCATCCACCCCAGTAAACAATATACAGAGTCAAATGCAGCCCTGGTGGAAGTGGATGCAATTCTTTTCAGTTTATACCCATTTAGAGTCAGATTGAATATGACCCAGAGTCTTTTCTCCTCTTCCAAATTTTGCTGTCAACAATAAGGTTTTAAGCCGTGTGTGTGATTTTTCTCTCCCCCATGTTTGTCTCTCTCTCCAGGGAGGTTCCTTCTCCTATGATGTCATCCTTCATTTGGCAAATATTGTAAATTACAGGGTTTCCAAGGGAGTAAAAGCACGCATGCCTGATTTTGGTTTATTTCTCTCAGCCGTGGCTGAGCAGTGTTAGCACAGCTCTAGGAACAGTGGGTTTTGTGCCACTGCAACATTCGCTTCAGCACTGATGGCAACTTTATTTAATAAAAGCTATTTAGAAGACAGAAGACATTCCCCACTAGTTTATCTTAATGGAAGACCAAATTTTCAGCCTAAATAAATAGCCAGTTTCCCGTCAGCAAATCCAAAATGCTGCTTTTCCCCTTTCGGGGCTCCACTTTTCTGCTCTTCTTCCCAGTCACCATTTTGCTTCCTCCCTCTGTCTCAGTGGAAGTGAAAAGATATGGGAAATAAAGAGGGGGTGGAGCCTGAATTCAGTCTGACTTACACCACCACAGTCAGAAGTAACTCAGTGGAGTTACACAAGTGTGAAAGGAGACTCAGGCCCCTAAAGTGTCCAAAGGGAAAAGGAGATGAAATGACAAGCTCACCACTTCTCCACCAGCACCTTGCTGGCTTTGGCCTGGGCGAACAGCTGGTTCACTCTGTTCTCTTCCGTGTCAAAATGTTTCCTGTAGAACGACTAAGGGATAAAGAATGATTTATCAACAATTCATCAGAATGAAATTCACCCTAGTAAAGTGAATCTTCAATTAAAAACCGGTTAGAGAGGGACTGGGTGGTTTAGGGGATTGATAATGGTTAAGGTGTCATTCTCCCACAGGTTACCGGAAACAGGATAAGAACCTCTCCTCTAGTTCATCGGTTCAAATTCAGTTCAGGTCTGTAGTTATTGCAGTCTCCGGCTGCTGGCTATTCAGCTGCCTATGTGAAATGAATCTGGTCGTATCAATTTAGTTCCTAGATTTCAGGACTCCACGTAAGAAAAAACATAACCACTACTGGATCGAATTGGCCCTTTTGTTGGCAATATCAACAGAGGCCAAGGATTGAATGGACATGGAGACTGAATTCCCCTCTCACCTCTAGAGGTGGTTCCTCCAGGTCAGGGTTGAGGCACGTTGGCGGGGGAAGTGTAGTGGAAGCTAGCACTGCTGCTGCCCCGGCTGTACCTGTTCTGTAGATAAATAGAGGGCTTCAGTCTCCAAGGCTGTTAAATAGGCTGGAACCTTTCATGAACACTGAATTCATACTGTTTTTTTAAAACGCAAGCTGGAAAATATCTGGGACCATATCTAACCTGGGTTTGGAATTGTTTCATGGACAGTTTGACAATAGGCAAACCTTGCTTACAGGAATGGTGGTTAACCACATCAATAACACAGCTCCACCAGCATGGCCCTGATGGATCATGATGGAAAGTGCCTGATATTTCCCAGTGAATGAAGATGCTCACCTGATTTTTATAGCCCTTGTCCACTCCAAGTGTCTGTGTGCAGAACCTATGCTTAACACCAAAGTGCCGCATTAGGTAGGCCAAGTCAATGGTCCAGATACTCTTTGTTAACCGGAGTTCCCGGATGGCTTTCTGAAATTCCTCATCATTCAAACGATTCAGGTACCTAGGGTATTACAGGAAGTGGGGAAGCAAAGACGTTAGCAGAAGGTGTGTCTAACAGTCCAAAACCTCTTAATATCACAAAAGGGAAAACCTGAAACATTAGGGTTTGGTTGAGAAACAACCAAAATACAACCCACAAATGAACCACAAATTCCAAAGCAAGGGAAATGGGGTAGGGAGCATTTCACTGGATTTATCACAGGTGACTGTTTCCCTTTTGGAAATTTAGTGCTGTCTTAATTATTTTATCGTTCTAAAGATGTACAGGACGCTGTACAAGAGGTGAGCTGTGCTAAACAAATTATGGGGCTCTATCCTGAAGAGTTTACAATCTAAAAGCACGAATTCAACAGCAGGAAGGGGTATGGCAACTATAGCTGGATTGATTCATGGAACAGGTATGTTTCAGAAGGAGTTTTTTGAAGGAGGAAAGGAACTTGGTAAATATTCAAAGGAAGGTTGCCTCAGGCACCGAGGGTGGTGTGAATGAAAAACAGTTGAGGAGACGCGGGAGGTGAGGGGGAAGGTGATGTGGGAGGGCAGAGATTTATTCAGAGACAAAGTTATGGAGAGCTTTGGAAGTGAGAAAAAACAAACTATGCAGAAAAAAAGAAGGAAGCCATTGGAATTCAAGAGGCAAAGACACAAGGTCAGATTGGCAGGGTAAGAAGATCGATCTTGGCAACTGAGGTTTTGAATGAAGTGGAAAGGAAAAGAGGTGAGGGGGGACGGAGAGGCTAGAGGCAGAGGTTACAGTAGTCAAGATGGGAAATTACCAGCGCACGGACTAACGTCTTGGCAGAAGGGATGGAGAGAAATGAAAATCTTCTGCTTCATATCTACTAAGTGGACATCTAAATAGGTATTTCACTCTCCTGCACCTAAGCTCGTGTTCCTCTGTGGAAGGAAAGACTAGTTCAGCAGGACAGCTAGTAGGTTAAAGAAAATGGGCAACACAGAGAATAGCTTTGAAACTCTCATATTCCTGGAAAACATTTACCCCACAGAACGGATGCCCAACTGGACAGTGGCAAGATACTAACTCTTATAAATACAGAAGAAACCTGCTGGTCATTTGAAGACACACAGAAAGGAATTCAAGTGAATTGCTGTGATAAGTAACAGTTCCAATAAGAAGCAGAGAGAACATTCTATCACACAAAACATGCTAATCTGCAGGGATAACATTCTATTGGGTTAAACATGCTAATCTACAAAGTTCTTAAAGTTAATCAGATATTTTGTATATATCAAGAAACTTGGTTAATTATCCTTCATCTGTGTTTTCTTTTCCTCCTGCTGGAATACTGGTGCTATGCCCAGCGAGGCAACAGTAATCCTTAGCGGGGCACTGGGGAAAATATGGTCTGATGAAGTTGAGGTTAGTCACATCTGCCCCACCCAACTTTTCTCCTTTGACATTCGATCCTGGTCTTAGGAAGGGTCCCACAGTGGGGATAACATTCCCAACTCCCTATGCTCAAAACCCACCCCTCTGAACCAAAATCAGTTACTTACTGCAGTGCCATCCTGGAGGAGGCTAGCCCACAGTCCCAATGGTACAACTGCTGAATAACTGGCACTTGCAACTGGACATAGTCAGCTGTAGTAAAGACAACGCATCATTAGAAGAGCATGATAGGTGAGTTAGCCCAGATATGTGTATACTTCCACACATTAGTATTAGCAGTCCTCTTGCTATCACAGTTAGTGTTGTACTGGGGTACTTGAGAAACACTTTTTATTTTGTCCCTTTAGCAGGTTATGCTTCTCAGCATAATTTTTTTTTTAAAGGTCTTTTTCCAAATTGTAAAAGTAAGTGAACCATCAAGCGTCTGTTTTAACCTGACACTCCCTCTTTGCTATAGGTATGGCCAATTCTGCAGCAAATTCATCCTCCTCTTCCTCCCTAACTTTTTTCCGGTCAGATCTACCTATTCTGGTCATGGCCTCTGTATGATCATGAAGAGGTAATCACACCCTAAGAGAGATACCAGGAGAACAACAGACTTTCATCTTTTATTGTGGTGTGTCCAAAACTGAGTCTCTGGGTTTAAACAGATTTTGTGACTGTTGCAACCTTCTGTGCAGTCTGACCATCAAAGATGTGCCAATACTTGAGTGTTCATCCAGCAAAAAATACCATGCCACAAGGAAGTGCTAATTGAGCCTGTGATCAACAGGAACAATGGGAGGACTTGTCTCCTCAAGAACACTACACTGAGTTACAGCAAGACTGTGAGAAGTTGTGTTAACGCAATGTCAACTGTGTCTTTGCAGTCAGTGTAAAGACAGGGACAAGATGTGTTCAACATTATGTGGGCTAGTCATGGTCAACATCAACTCCTCAAGGTTGTGCTCTAACTTGATGTAATTTTCTAGGGAAGATATGCCCAAAATGCTTTTAGCAGAAACAGGCCTCCATGGATTTTGTGGCCTCCTTCCAAAATTTCTCACTTTCCTATGTATTACATTCTTTCTAGCCTTTCCCGTGTGGCTTTGAAAACTAGTGTACCTGCTGAGGACATCAAGTCTCTTTAGTTAGTCTATGTCTGGCCAGTATAGATCAATGTAGTAACTCATTATACTAAAGGAAATGCTAATCTCCAAAGCCTTCTCACATTAGGAATTATAAATCATTTGTCATAAATTCCTGTTGGTGGATTATACTAACCTCATTTTCCACTAAGGACTCTACCCCATTAGGTCCCAAGAAAAGAACACATTTTCTACATCATAATCTCAAATAGTAATAACTGAAGCCTAATGTGTCAATTAATTTCCTTTGATTTATTGAGTTGCCAGCCATCCTGCCTTGCCTTACACATCCTTTGCTGCAACAACTTCATATTACTTTTCAAGCTCCCTAGATGAGGATGATTGCCAGCAGTCCTGGAATAAATGAAGTGAGAAAGTATGTTCCAGCAATAAACTGAACTGCATGATCATCGCCAGTTTGATAAATACAGTACTCAGTGTGACAGGTTTACAAAAAGCAGCCACTAATTTCAAATCCCTAGGGGACAACACTACCCTCCTCCTCAACATGGATCTTAGGCAGGTTGGTACAATCAGTATCCCTGATCTGATAGACCTGGAAGTGCAGGGAAGACAGATCCTTGAAGGACCTGCCGCGAAGACACCATATCTTCCTGGAACAGTGGCATCTTCCCAAACTGAGTGCCCTAGTTCCATCGTCTGTCCAGAGTGATAAAAATTCAGTCTTAGGACTCCTTTCTTTTCACTATACACTCAAAAGCCCAGAATGTTCTGTTGGAAAATAACGATCTGGTATTTAAATTATACCCAAATCCTCGCACTGAACCCAGTTCAACATGAAAAGCACAAGGTATTGGTTATAGAAGACACTGCAGAACGGTGCTCAGGGAAGCAGACATAGACCCCATCTTAGCTGTTTAATTCTAGCCCCCCACACCAATCATGCAGTTACATTCACCGGCAGCATCTGATTTCAAAATCCCATCCATGCGTCTGTGCAGAATCAGAGCCTTAATATCCCTGGGGTAATATCTCTTATAGGGACTGGTAATTTTTTCTGGATTTCCTCAGGCCTTTAAAATACTGTTTTAGCTCTGAATCTTCACTTGCAGTATTAGTGATCAGAGTGTGCACAACAGCGGGTGTGTAGAGGACTATTGCCGACAACGGCTGCAGACCAGCCAGGGCCTGTGAATGCCTCAAATTTCTCATGAGAGAGTCAAGGTAGGCATCTTTTATTGGACCAACCTCTGTTGGTGGAAGGTACAAGCTTTCAAGCTACGCAGAGATCTTTCCTCAGGTCTGGGGAAGGAAGCAGAGACGCTGAGCCAAATACACTTTGGGACAGATTGTCAAGCAGAAGGGGTAATGCATGTTGGAGGCAGTCGCTTGAAATGAAGTGGCCAATTGGGGGTTAGTGTGTTATGCAGAAAGGGTCTGAAGTGGGCAACAAGGAGTAGCAGCAGGCACCATGTTCTCATGACACCCAGGCAATAGAGGGTGCCCAAAGCAGGAGAGCTGTGACAAACACAACCTGGCAATGGCAACGAGCCTTCTGCTGTGGAACGGAAGGGGGATCAGATGAGAGGCAGCTCAGATCCCTGGGGGTGGGGGTCCGAGGCGGCTCGGATCCCCCCGGGCAGGGCGCCGCGAAGGGGGGGAGAGTCTGAGGCGGCTCGGACCCCCCCCCCTGGGCAGGGCGCCGCGAAGGGGTGGGGGTGGGGTAAGGCGGCTCCGATCCCCCCCAGGCAGGGATCCGAGGCATCGGGGCGGGCTGGCTGCCCGGGCAGGGGCTGGCGAGGGTGCCCTGGGGGCGTCACTCGGAGGCGGCTCCTTTGCTGGGCCCCGAAACCCGTCCCGGCCTCGCCCGGGGACACACTGACCTGAGGGCGGCTCCGAGTCCGCGGCCTCCTTGGGGCTTTTCATGGCGGCGAAGACGGGGCCAGGCCGCTCAGTGGGCGGCCGCCGGGCCCGGGCCGGGCTGCGGGGCTTGGCGGGGCCGGGCCCCGCTCATGTCTCGGAGCGGCGCTGCTCCTGCCGGCCCCGGCGCTGCTGCCTGGCAGAGGCGGGGCGGGGCGGAGCCCGGCGGCGGGAGCTGCTGATGCGGCGGGCGGGGAGCGCTGCGGCTCCGGGCCCAGCCCCGCACGGAGGGGACCGCGGGAAGGCGGAGAGAGGGGAGCTGGCCGCGCTCAAGACGGCATCGCCATGCCCGCCCCCAGGGCAAGGCTCCTTGGGGACTATTTCCGCCTCCCCCCGACAGCTGTCAGCAGCGCGCTCCCCGGGGCGGGGGGTGTCGGCGAGGCAGTCCCCGCAGGGCAGGCGTTATGGGGGGGTATCTGCACCCCGGTCACATGCCCTAGTGATACACGGGGGGCGGGGATGGCTCGTCACTCCTGCCCCGGGGCCGCGTGTGTTCAAACTCGCAGCGGCGGAGCCATGCGGCATTGTCGCTTCGCTCCCCGCCTCGTGGGCCGGGGAAGCAGGCGGAACCCTTGTTCCGGGCTGGTGTATCCCCGGGGGACGCCCTCTCCTGAGGCCCGGCGGGCGCACGAACCATAGAGTTGAAAGGCGAGAGGCGCTCGCTCTCTGGGCAGCGAGGCCTTTCCGGATCCGGTGCGCGGTGCACGGCGGGATACCGGTGGAGGCCATTAGAGCGCTAAGGCTGAGCCCACGCTGAGCAGAGACGTGCCTCGCGGAGCGTAAGTGGCGGGCGGGAGCGCGGCCCCTCACCGGCGCGTGGGTGAACTCAGGCCGCCCTGTGGGCGGGGAGCGGGGCTGGAGGCTCCGGGGGGTCTCGTCTCCTCAGCGCGCTCCCCTCCCCCCAGTGACCCGCGGGCCCGGGCTCCCGCCGCCGCCCCCGGGACACTGACAGGGCCAGGGCCGGTATTTCGCGATCAAGTAACGCGGGTGCCGTGAGCGTTGCAGATCGTCTGGTGTTTGCTGCTCCGGACGCGGGTCTGTTTTGATACCGCCCCGTGGCGTGTCGGGGTCTCTCCGGGGAGCGCTGGTTCGGTTGGACGCTTTGCGTTTCCCGGCCCAGGAGACTGGCAGGGTATCACTGAGCGCAACGCTTGGCGGCTTTGTGCGTCTGACTAACCTGTCCCTCTTCAGAGGTCCTCTTCGAGTTTTAATAAAACAAAAAAGGGTTAAAGTTTAGAACTGCCTTCAACGGAGCATAGAAACATCCCCCTTCACACCCCTCCCCCCACACACACACCACATACCCACACCCCCACTCACGAGTTTCCCACCATCTTTCTTCCTCTTTCATCACAACAGCCCTAGTTACAATGGGGAAGGGATGGGGTGAGACGAGACCAAAACAGTGAAGTGTAGCTGCCAGGCGAGTCCTTCATCTATTAAATTAGACACGAGTGGGGTTTTTTACATAATTCAAAACATATCCTCTAGATCAGGGGTTCTCAAACTAGGAGTTGGGACCCCTCAGGGGGTCATGAGGTTATTATATGAGGGGTCGTGAGCTGTCAACCTCCACCCACAAGCCCTGCTTTGCCTCCAGCATTTATAATGGTGTTAAATATCTAAAAAAGTGTTTTTTATTTATATGGGGGGGGGTCGCACTCAGAGACTTGCTATGTGAAAGGAGTCACTAGTAAAAAAGTTTGAGAGCCACTGCTCTAGATCTTTAGTACGAATTACTTAATGATTTTTTTTTAACTCACATAAATAGTTTCCTTGAAGGCCATGAATGCATAAGTAAGGATTTGCAGTATCAGGCCATAATGCACATCAATCGCCTTGATATATCCTTTTAATAGGCTGCTTAGCCATTTCTTTCCAATTCAAAGCGGTAATATCTCTTGTTATACCAACTTCTGTTAGTGAAGGAGACAAGGGTTCGAGCTAGGGTTCTGGAGACAGAGCTCTTCCATTAATAAAGATATTACTTCACCCACTTTTTCTCTGTAATGTCCTGGGACCAACACGGCTATAACAACTCTTTCCTGTATGGTAAGGTAATTCTTCTAGTGGAGGCCAAATATATTCTCAACCTCAGGCATTTCTGAAAGGAAATAACTCTTGTATCAGAAATGTCACTTTAAGTCACATTGCTTCTGTGTCACTTTAACAGAAAATGTGTGTACTAAACAGTGCTCCCAAAGCTTGAGAAAATCCCCTACATGGTATAGAGGCCTCCATCACAAGCTTGTAAGACACACTAACGTCTATATCTTGGGGAATATCCAGCATGTTGTATGTTTTTAATATGATGCTCGGAAATACAGCAATGTAATATGGAATGCTCTTTATGTAGTTCCATCAAGCAATGAGATTCTGTGAATACACTGTGTGAGAGTCAACATCTCTAATTGAAAGGAAAGTAGTATTTTCTTTTGCTAGTAGCAAGCAAGCGTTTTGGCACTGCTGATTCCTCTGCTTTGGTATTCTTACTCTGGTTTCATTTCGCTGGTATAGGCCATCCCAAAGTTAGTTATGTCTACTTACCTCTTCTAAAATTATTATAAAAGAGTCTCTCACTCTTTCTTGACTAACCCATCAGATTCCTCAGTAATTCTTCTGAAAATGTAGAAAATTTTGAAAAGTTTTTCTTCCCCATCCTCCATGACTCTCTGAGTTCCCCATTTCTTTCCCTGCTACCAAGATTTTGAGACCAACATGGTCTTTAAAATAAAACTATCTGGCATTTACGTAGCAATTCAATGTGCACAGAAGCCTTAATCCTGATTACTATGATTACTTGTTCTGGGAATAGCTATGGTGACAGAAGTCCTGTTTATCAGGTTGACACTTTTTAAGGGCACTGAATTTGTAGAAAAATAAAAAAACAGGAGTAAGTAGTTCTTTATTTTCTGGACTAGAAAAGTTTGTTAGGCTTCTAAGAAAAAATCTGTATTATGTAGGCAGAGCTTATGGGCAAAGAAACTTACGATGCTATTCCTCTTTGGTCCTAGGTTTAGAGCTGTACTGCTGCAAAGATGTCCATCGGAGTGCCAATTAAAGTGCTGCATGAGGCAGAGGGCCACATCGTGACATGTGAGACCAATACAGGGGAAGTCTACCGTGGCAAACTCATTGAGGCTGAGGACAACATGAACTGCCAGGTATGTCTGGGAAAAGGGGGTGTGAATGGTGTATTTTTGGAAAGGTCAATCTTTGGCTGATTGTGAGCTTTACTTAAATATTGACATTTCTACTCAGAGATAAAGAAAGATGAGTTATCCTGCTTCATAGCTTTGCCAAAATGACACAGTCTCACTTGTGACATTCTAGAGAAGGGGACAGCTTAAACTTTTTGGTTTATAGGCAGGAGCGCCTGTTCCTACCAGAAATTCTTATGTATTTTTCAGAGCTGTGTTCTGTGACTAGTTTGAGATAATGGCATTTCTGCTAAAACCATTTGTTATTTCAACAGCTAGCTTCTACTCTTTTGACTCATTAGCTCAAGATATGTTTTCTCCAAATCAGTGTTTTGAAAAGCTTTTTCTTAAATATTTTTTTTAAAAGCACACACAAAGCCAGGTACTTGAATACGGTGTAATTCTAATTGATTTTTAAGACTAGGGCTACATGTTCAAATCGCTCTCATCTCATGAGAAATTACTTTTGTTAGAATAAACTAATATAATATATGTGATACTACAGAAGGGAAGATATTTCCCCTTGTCAGTGAGTTCCCAAAGCTTATTTTGGGTTAATGTGGTGAACAACTTTAGGAATTCGTTACTAGAAATACAACTCTGGGAGTGATCAAAATAGCCTACTAAATCCACAGGATTAGTAAAATTCAAATAGTTTAAACTGCATTGTCTCTCACAAGCAACTGCAATTGACAAAGGGTGCCAGAGTTAACAGGCCTTCTGAGTACTGATTAAATAGTCCTTGGTAGTATTGTTCTTTGTGTACCACGCTCCATAGCTTATTCTCTTCTTTCTCTCCTTTCCCCTCCACCCCCCTTCGCTCAATCATGTCACACACACACACACACACACACACACCCCACCCCCAGTCTAATTTAAATCTGCTCTGTACTTATATGCTGATCTGATCTTGAATGTTGAATCTGAGTTTTGCTGGCTAGATTACTCTAACAAACACTATGCACACAATTAAAAGGCAAAACTTATGTAAGGCTATGATGTCTTTGAAAGATTCTTAGTGATCTTGCTCTGCTGTTTCAATGTATTCTCTTAATTGGGATTCCATTTACATTAGTCAACTTGCTGCAGCTTCTGAAAAATACCAGTCCATGTTAGCACAAAACAGATGAAAACTTCTCTCAGAAATCAGTTTCAAAACAGTCCTGGAAAGCTATTCTGTTGAACACATGTTCATGCTATTATTTGGCCAGACAGCTTTCTGTATTAGAAAG